TGGTGGAAATAATGAGTCTAATCAAGATAAGACAGATTGTTTCATTTGATTTAAACCTTGATGTTTCTTACCCTAATCCACTCTCCCATGACGACTCCCTGGGGATTCTTCTAGGGAGAGTTGACTAGGATATGAAAATGAATCTATTGTTGTTGATCCTAAAATACTATTATGACGATTTCTGATAGAAGAAGTGCTTGCATTGATGAAACTATGCTGTAGTTGATTTCTTCATGTCATGAATCATACTGATTACACAAAAGGCACACATTTAAATACTCAATCATTCGAGAGAACGAAAGCTGATGACGGTTGAATATAAAAGCCAAGGATATCAAAATAAATACAAAACATAGAGCCACAACATCAAAATAAATACAAACAGAGAGACAGGACAAAATATATGGTAAAAACAAAATAATAGTCATGCTTAACTGTGAGCGTCATAACAATGTATTCGTTTGTTTTTCATTAAGCGGCAAATCTTCGAAAAATTTTCACTTTACAAATGAAATTATTCTCATACAAAATCGTATTTTATGTAAATTGAGCATAATAGGTTTCAAAAAACTATGTTACAGGATTCTATGGTTGCCTACAAAATATTCTTTTTTGTTTTTCGAAATTCTGCCACGTCAATATGAATAATACTAGTCAATATATTGATTTCGTTTTGCTCTGATGCTTTTCATATGTATATTGTAGATACGCTTCTATAAAATGTGTGACACTAATAGGCTCGATTCATGAATTAGCTGAAAAAACATACAAACGAACCTGATATCGTAAGTCACTCTTCCTGTTGATCGTTACATTTATCACAGCTCGAGGCTTTTTATTAATTAAAATGTTTATGATGAATCTCTGATATATTGCTTCTATCTATCGTATTGTTAATACTGCCTTTGCTATTAACGCACCTTACTACACCAAAGATTGATGACAATATTGATTGTAGGGTAAGTTAAGATCAGTCAAAGGCGCGTTCATTATTCAGAGGCTATGAACAGTGTAATTTAACATATTGATGACACGAAAGGATAAAATTGCTAAAAAAAATTTCTCACAAAACTAAATTGCTTATGACATGATGGCTTAAATTAACGTTAAATATAAGGAAAAAAACAAATAATTCTAACAGTCCACAACTAAATTATTGATTACTTTTAATAATAATTCAAATTTGATTATTAGTTTCTATAGAAATATCGATAAGATACCAAAGAGAATATTCTATTCTTGTGCTATCATGTACTTTGTGTTTTTTTGCAGAGTAGAAAAAACCATCAATAGAAAATAGACAGGCAAAGTGGCAACAAAGCAAAAAATTTTGAAGACTAAATTTTTTTCTATCGGGTAATTTTATTTCATAAACCAAATCACTGGATAAATAGATAAAATTAATGATGCATATAATATCTAGTATTTCAAAATATGTAAAGAAAACAAGTAACCTAATAAAGGTCGCGATAAACTACAAACAATTTCTACATACACTGGCAGCAGTGTCAACGTAATTCCTGTTGTTGATAGCGCTCGTGTATTTACAAATTGATTGTATGTAACTTATCTCAACCCCTAATAAACTTCTATTCTTTATCTATTTGTTGATATTGATTTCCATCAATCTCATTTATTCGTTTAAAACGATTCAGCCGGGTCATATTTAGAAAGATTTTCATTGGCTGTAATTCTACCATTTTATAAAAGCATTTCTATCATCGCACCGGTTCAACTGTTGTATTATAAGTTTAACATTGATTGTCACGACTCCCCTACTATGGAGTCAAAGGAAGTTTTTTTTTCTTTTATTTGTCAGAAAGTTTTTTTTCTTTTATTTGTCAGAAAGTTTTTTTTATTGCAACCAAAAGTGAATGTAAAACGAAGTTTGCATGTAATAACAATTGGCAATGAGTTCAATTTTCTGCTTAGCCAACTCAAATATTTGAAAAATGATACAGGGTTGAGATAAGCTACATACAATTCGTAAATACACGAGCGCTATCAACAGCATGAATTACGTTGGCACTGCTGCCAGTGTATGTAGAAATTTTATGTAGCTTATCTCGGTCATGATACAGGTATGTGATTGATTTTTACTGGTAACTAAGTCCATCAATAAGAAAAATAATAAAACCATAAAATGATAGATGAGTATTGTTTTTTTTAAAGAACCGAACGCTTTGAAGGTCAGTTAAAATAATGATAGCGACAGATTTTGAAGTGAATAGTTCATCGTTAATGAAATAAAGAAGAATTTAATGTTGCATAATTAATACTACATCTCATTATAATTTAAAAGTCGGTTCTTTAGCGTCTGTTAATGAATGTATGTTATAATAGAATACACAATTGGTTACCAAGCCGCTCTAATGTTATTTCATTTCTGTACCTTTAAGTAATGTTACAAAAATGAATTATAGCTCACTGAAATGTAAGATGGTATCATAAGAATGCCAGCAGAATGATTGATTACTAAAATTTATGCATTCTTCTTTAACCTATTGATAGAATTGATGCAGCAACTGCCTGCCTTATTTCAAGGTAATTTAGCATGCTCGTAATGTAATGGATGAGACGACAGGTTTGCATTGAATTAGCTAGTGATACGATTGATAATCGTAGAGACTTTCATTTTATTTTGAGACAAAGTAAATTGTTTAGTAAAAAATAAGCCAATGAAAGAATTCGATTGGAAATGATTCTAAAAAACTATAGACCAAGTTTAGGATAAATGATTAGTAAAAACTATTCTTCAACTTTTTTGAACGTAGAAAATATTCCAACTATGTGAACCAAGTATATATTTATTTATCTAGTTTGAGTAGTACGATAAAGGCGTACATGATTATTGCCTTAAGAAATATGAAGCACATTCTCAAGGCAAAGGAAAGATCCTTGAGTTGTATGCTCAAGAATATTACTTGGAATAAAATACATGTTCTACGATTGATATTTAAGCAAATATTTTTTCGATCTATAAACCACATATTAACACTGTGAAAGTCCTTACTGTAATAAAATACTAGGTCATATATTCGGTGCTGAAAAATCTAAGACACATCTTTTAATACGAATAATGTAATGATTAAAGTTTTCCAGAGTGTCTTTTCGTAGAATTTCTAATGTTTTCGACAAATATTACCACGAATGCGTTTTCATTTATTTTTTTATCAGACATTTTACTCTCTGTCAAAAGCTAATCCAGGTAATGCAGTATTCCGTCGCAATTCTAACACGTAAAAATAGAATCAATGGTATAGTTTTGTTACTTTTCGTAATTATTTTTAAATCGTTTTCTTCTTTTATTTTGTCTAGGTTTTCATGCTCTAATCTTTCGCTTAATGCAGTTCTTTAATTCTGTCTAATGTGTTAATCATTATAATCGTTACATAGGTAGAAAGAGAGTTACACATCGAAATGTGACTAGAACGATTGATTTGCAATCGACAAAGTTAAAGGATTGATGCAAATAGCTATAATTCAAAAAAAAACAATGAATAAGAATAAATCAACATTGAAAGGTGTAAGAATAACACTAGAAATTGTGTAAGTTGAGATCATATTAATTTCTTCGTAATCTTTCTAGATACTGATTTAACAAGAATGTGCATGATTAACATATCATAGTAGTAACTAAACAGTATTTGTTTTAAGCATTTATTATTCTTTCCTCTGATATATATATATGTAGATGAATATCTTACAAGAGTTAGTGAACAATATAAGTAAAAAAGTTAGAATGAAGTACTGAATATATACCATATTTATCAAGATAATGTTCGAAAAATCTCTGAATAAGATCCGAAATAAATAAAGCTAGCAGAAATGCGTCTATTTGATAAAAAAAAAACTGTCGTTCCTTATTTATACATGTCAACACGAATATAAGAGAAGAAAATTGATGCTGACGTAGGAAGTAATAGTATTATATTAGGTTTAGTAACTGTAGTGCAGTATAAAAGTAGAACAGAAGAAACTATTTCAGCAAAGAATCTCATTAAAATTAATGATATTTTTCGTCAAAAAACAAATTCAATAAGAAGAAAGTGAAAACTTGTTCTACTATTGATTTGTCACAGATCCACCATCGTAACCAAGTGCAACCTAATAACTAAATCTAAAAACCTATTCTGAAAGCAAATCAGGCAATCTTTAAAGGAATACTCGAAAGTATTCTTTTTTAACTAATGATTTAATTATAAATCCATAGATTCTTGATGAATGATCTTGGATTCAATACGCTTACAAGAACTTTTTTTAAAGACTTAAGAAACGAAGTGGGATTAAATTCATATTTATGTTGATAAATTCCTACGATAAAGTCATTTGTACTAAATGAGTCTTTTTCCGCTTCAGGAATCTGTACTCTATCGTAGCTATGCTTAATATCACTCGATGGTACTAGGGGTGACCCTTTATCTTTATTTTCCTTTATAGCTACTAAAGGATAAAGATAAATGAATCCGTTATCTTTAGAAAATAAACGTAAATGATTGAAAAAGCATCTATAATTTAGTTTCTTAAAGATAGATGAATCATTTACGTTTAGAAGATAATAGAAAATGATTGAAACAAAATTTATCATTTATTTTCTAAAGATAAATGAATCATTTATCTTTANGCTCGTCAAGCTCTATCTAGCAAAGTAAAAATATAACGAGTGAAAAAATATTGCTCGACCATTACTCTGGGTGCACCTTATATCGAACTTTGATCAAGAAAAAAAGCATTTAAGGATACAATAATACTTGCATTTCCTTGTTTTACCATAACAACTCTATGTTTACCTTAAGTGCCATGGCTGGTTAGTTTCTTCAATCAAATATATAATATGCCAAATAATATTGCTACTTATTTTCTCTATTTTACATCATGTTTTAGATATTTTTTCCTCGACGTTAGTAAGAATCAACCAATCGACCGTTGTGTAAAATACAGAAAATAAGTAACAATATTATTTGGCATATTATATATTTGATTGAAGAAACTAACCAGCCATGGCACTTAAGGTAAACATAGAGTTGTTATGGTAAAACAAGGAAATGCAAGTATTATTGTATCCTTAAATGCTTTTTTTCTTGATCAAAGTTCGATATAAGGTGCACCCAGAGTAATGGTCGAGCAATATTTTTTCACTCGTTATATTTTTACTTTGCTAGATAGAGCTTGACGAGCTAATCACAAATATCACCTTGAAAATATTTTTTGGGTAATTTTTACCCGAGAAAAATTCAGAGTACTAAAAAAGTTTAAAAAAACGACTATTTCAGTTTTTTTAAGGAAAAATCAAGTTTTTGCTGATTTTAAGTAACGATAAACTTTTGAAGCTCTTTCGTTTGTATTTAATATTTACGAATTCAGTAAAAATATGTAGATTTATAACTATTTCATCATCCATATCTAGTCCAATAGGACCCACTCGATATATGAGTTGCCACAATATCACTGTACATAGGCCGCGGAGCCATTAGGCTCGCGAGGCTCAAGTCTACCCTAGGTTGAAAGGGGGTAGGCTTAGCCTGCCCTAAGCTGGAACTGGGTAGACCTTGGTAGACTGAAACTGAAACAGATAAATGTTTGGATAGGTTTTTATATGCAAAATGATTTTATTCCTGTTTAGTTTTGAGACTTTTCTAACAAATAACGAATTATTAATTACAAGATCATTTCATATTTTCTCTACGAGTAACTAGTTTGCAATGAAATATTAGTTGAACGTTGTTGGCATTAAAATTGACATCTAATTCGTAATTCTTAATTTAAGATAGCTGAATTGTTTCTGTAACTTCTGTTTAAAATTATTTTTAAATCTTAGGCACTCGAATAACATTACTTGTGCCGTGCAGAAATGCGAGCTAAACAAAAATGATTAAAAGACGATCAAANTTTAATCATATGATATATTGAGCTCTAAACTTTCACAAAAGAAATTATTTTGACTTTTTGTAGAATCAGTAGCCAGCTCTTATTATTTCTATTGAATTTTACACAGTCTTCTACCTAGAAATCATAGTCAAAATCGAAATCAAACAAAATTTGATCGAAACGAAAAATATGAAATTTGATTTATCTGTTCTTGTGAGTAAAATAAGCATTTCTTTGTAAGAAAGAAAGCTTTTTCAAAACCCATGCGAAATTTTGTACTCCTTCACTTGACAGCGCGAATGGTGTATGAAGGTTGTAGAAATGCTCATAAAAAAAAAGTTAATAGGCTTGCAAAAATATGGTGACATTGTGGCGGCTTATATATCGAGTGAGTCCTATTGGAGTAGATATGAATGATGAAATAGTTATATATCTACATATTTTTACTGAATTATTAATGTTCGATACGAATGAAAGAGTTTCAAAAGTTCATCGTTACTTAAAATAAGGAAAAACTGAAATAGTCATTTTTTTTATTTTTTTAGTATTTTTAATTTTTTTCGGGTAAAAATGACTCAAAAAACATTTTCAAGGTGATATTTGTGATCAGCTCACCAAGCGCAATCTAACCATGTAAAATATAACGAGTGAAAAACTTTTGCTCGACTTCTGCCCTGGGTGCATCTTATGTAATTATATCTTTTTATTTTTATTTGATTAGGAAAGTCATACGGTCATTGAATTGAAAGGTAGTGAAAGTCTTTTGAATGATCAACCTACTTCTAATAAATGTGAGCTTTTGTTTTTGTTACACTGATATTTTTATTAATGCATTGATTTTTCCTCAAAACTAATAGATAGTTGAAAGAAAAGGCGTGGAAGAAATAGTATAAGTAGCCGATTGATTCTTTCACAAATTTTTGTCTATTTGCGCTTGATTGACCCTATCTTTTCTGTGTTCTGTTGCATGAATGCAAATTTTCAGTGGAATTTTATAACTAAATAAATATCTTTCGTTTTTTTTCAGCGCCTGGATCTGGACCGAGTACGGCAGCATCTTCAATTGTACATCAGTCGAATATTTTTATGAAATATGTTAGTTTAGTTGCATTAACACTTCAAAATGCGTTAAGCATATTATTATTACGTTATGTGCGCACAGTTCCAGGAGAACGGTTTATCAAATCCACCGCAGTTATTAATTCAGAATTTCAAAAAACAATTTTAAGTATACTTTTACTCATTCATGAAGAACGTAATGTTATTGCAGCTTTTAAATTAATGTATAATAAAATTGTACGTCAACCTTATGATACATTTAAAACTGGAATACCAGCTTTACTTTATACGTTGCAAAATAATCTTCTTTTTATTGCTATTTCAAATCTCGATGCTGCTACATTTCAGGTAATTTCTTAGTAGAACTTCTAGAATTGCGGTCTCTTGTTTTATTTTGGTCTGTGTACCAACATAGAAAGAAAATTTTCTTGAGCCTATGATATGGATGATTCATCTTTGTTTTGGATTAAACATGTTGATGAAGGTCAGATTTTAAAAAGGGTTAGGTTTTTTGTTGTTGTTTAAGATATCTAAAGTATTTAAATCAATCAGAATGTTTTTTTTTATTAGAAAAACGTAGATTTTATGAATAGTACTGTTTTTTTTAATTGGCAGCGACAATGGGACAGAACTTCTTCCAAGATACGTTATGTTAGGATAGCGAATAATTTCCAGATGCGAGGCCTCGCTTTTCTTTGGTTAACAGAAAAGCAAAGTATTGAAAAGAAAATATATATGAGAGTAAAAATACTCAATGAAATTTCGAATGCGAACCCAATTGAATAGAAAACTCACACGTTTTTAAAGGAGATTCGAAGAGTCTCAAGCAAGATTTCAGAACAATGAAAATGTACTAAGATGTATAAACCTAGTCTTCTTGTCTATTGCCATTTCTCGTATAATCGAATAAAATTGCATTTGTCGTTTGTATTCCCATAAAAAAAAGAACTTCATTTCCGTTTTCATCGCCTTTTTGTTGTTCTTTAGGTTAGCTATCAATTAAAAATTTTTACAACAGCTGTTTTAATGGTAATTATCCTTCGTCGTCAATTAAATCTTGTTCAATGGCTTGCACTCTTTCTTCTATTTCTTGGTATTTCTCTCGTACAAGTTGAAAATATGACAACAGCAACACCAAAACAAGATGTGAATGCTTTATATGGATTATTTGCTGTAATGGCTGCTTGTAAGTTTTTTTCTTTTTGTTTCTTCTTCGGAAAAATTGATAAGTAAATAACGAATTGACTGTTTCTTTTTCTATTTGATATCGTTTTCTAGGTACATTAAGCGGTTTAGCTGGTGTTTATTTTGAAAAAATTCTCAAAGGTAGTGATGTATCTGTATGGATCCGCAATATTCAATTAGGTATATTTGGAATTTTTTTTGGTACATTAACAATGTATTTATCTGATGGTGCAGAAGTAAAAGCAAAAGGATTTTTATATGGTTATACAAATATGGTATGGATTGCAACATTAGTTCATTCTGTTGGAGGTCTTATTGTGGCATTAGTTGTTAAACATGCTGACAATATATTAAAAGGTTTTGCAACATCAGCAGCTATTGTACTTTCATGTATTGTTAGTATGATGCTATTTGATTTTGAATTAACAATATTATTTACGTTGGGTTCAGGCTTAGTCATATTCTCAATATTTCTTTATTCAAAAACCGAACTAATTCTATATGTACCGATTTTAAATACCTTTATCAACGACAGATCAGTACTATTTCAACACTAATTACAATTAAGCTTGAAGTCGGCAGATAAAATTACAAACCCACATTCTGTCTTCAGGTAGTCAAATGCTACATTAATATGTATTCTCTCTTAACTTCGTCCATATCTCACATGTGATAGACATTGATGCGAAAAAAGAATCATTCCACTAATAATTATGAACGGTCGAGTTTTCATGTTTTTTTTTCGTTAGTAGGTGCGAGTGTGTTTTTATTTTCTTTGTTTGTGCTCTTATTATTTGTGCGCGTTTTTATTATTTTACTAATATTGCTTTTGGATCACCGTCTACTACTTAAAATATGGTCCATTGTTGAACGTTTTTTTTTTCTTTATTGAAAACGAATGCACAAGTTTCCAGTGTACTAATTATATGAAAAAATAAAGAGTAAAAAATAGTTGATACAAAAAGTTTTTTATTGATTTACACGAACTATATAGTAGTGTAAAACATTATGCGAATAATAAAAGAAAAGAAAGTACCAGTTTTACTTGATTGAAATAAAATTTAATATAAAAAACAATTTTTACATTAAATCGTATTAAGACAAACTCCTTCTATGCTCTTCTAAAGTATACATTAATAGTTAGAATTCTAGTTCTATTAGACTTTGCATGCTAAACAAAAAGTCATGAAAGAAAAGATAAACGAAAGTATTGATTTATGTGTTTTTGTGTACTCAAAAAGTGAGTACACTATAGAATCGGTCAGTGTGTCCGGCCGCCCGTTTACACGATAACTTTCGAAAGAAGAGTTAGATCATGATGAACTTTTCTACACAGTTCAGCCTTATCAATGTCTCAGTCGAGTTCGAAGATGAGAAGGATCCGTCAAGAAATGGTTGAGTTATCGAAAAAATTGTCATTATTGACCAGACCATCCCTGAGGGGGAGTACAGGGATTTTTCAAAAAAACTTTTTTTCCTCNATTATATCACTCTGAGAGTAGATTAAGCGATCACTGGATAGAGTTCCATACAGTGTGGTCCATGCTAACTTAGCATGCCTGTATTTTCTCCTTGTAATTTAGTGAGAAGGGATGTATCTTGATGAGATCTATGCTTTATAGAAAAAAACGGATGCACATTTTCGCTTTTTGAAGTACACATAACAATCGGATGCAAATCCGATGTTTCCGCATTTTTTATGATTTAATTAAAGTTGAAGAATACCACTCTGGATTGCCGCTTCAAGATTACTATAAGATAAATAATCTACATAATAAATATTAGTTCTTAGATCGATAATCAAAAACCATTTTTTCGATTATTATATTTCCACACATGGAAACAATTCTATCAATTCAATAATTGAAGCCGATAGTAAATCGATTAACAAAGCCTATTGTTTAATGCCAGTTATTTTCGCTAAATGTGTTGTATTTCTTCATCTATAATAACCAATATATCAAAACACTTACTGATGCGTAAGTTCGGTTTAAACTCTAAATTAGATAATTCTGTTAAAAATCTTAAAAAAACAAAGTGACGACATGGGACCGTTGGTATAAAACAGAACAAAAAATGAGGAAATCAGTTTGATTAGAAAAACCAATGATTATATAGTAATTCTCTATCGTATCATCAATGGAATTCAATTGATTATTAATACTATTTTGGTCATAGTTTAGGAAAATTTAGTTAAAATTATTTATCTGATAAGACAGTTTCTGTTTGAAATAAAATATCTAGCTGTTTTAATACAATAATAAAGAGAAAATAATTGATTAAACATTGCTGTAATTGATAGTACTGCCTGATCAAAATCAATAATAATGGCGTAAACAGTTTTCATTATCAAAGTCGTTTAATTTATTTCAATAGAAATGAAAAATGAAATTAATATCGGCCTTGCCTATTAACCAATCGACATTGATTAATGATAAACTTGAGTTCTCTTTGGTAATTTTTCATAGAAATTCGTTACTATCTCTATGTGACATAGAGTTATCAATAATAAATAATCTATCAACATCAAGATTACAGTGTAAATTCTTATAATATACTTTTACATAACTTACATACATTAACTATTGTTAAACTATTTCTTATCATAACAAATAACTATGTGTGAAGTCAACTATGAATTTCATTCATATCAGCTACTGATTAACGCTCAAAAGTGTGATGCCAGGGAAAATTGAAGATTTATACGTAATCACAAATGCTTAAATAATGTTTCTCTCCAACATATTTCAAACAATAATCTATATAATCAATAAAATACATGGCGTTTTTATTTTCTACGGTATGCAATTGTTAAGTATTCGAATTTCTTAAACCTTACTTCCATAATAAATACATTTAAAATGTTCCATAAAATGTTTTTTCATTTTCTAAATAAAAGGTTACTAAAATCGAAATTCTTCGTTTATCTTTAACTTGCGAAAATTCTTTACATGCTGGTATTATTTGATCTTTACTTCCAATAAGTTCCTATGATAATAGATTCTTATGTAATTAATTACATCATCAGTACCTGGCGTACGTGTTAGATATATTTTTAAACATTCATTTTATGTATAGAAAATAAAACGAAAAACAATTCATATTCTTTCTTTTGTCAAAAACAAAATCTAAAAATGCTCATTAATACACACACGCGCACACACACGTCACTCATCTTAATTGCATACTATTCACCATTATCAATTGTTTATACATATATTGCTGTTGTCACAATAATGGTTCTTGCCTGATCTTCGAATGAAACTTTTTTACTTGTATTGGAACGACGTGTACTTGCACTTGTTAATCGTCCTGATGGTATTGAACATGGCGTGTGATTAATGCTTGCAGATGTTATACTATGTGTATCACCACTACTACTACTTCGATCATAACATCCAGAATCAGATGAATTTGATTGGCGAGTATTATTATTATTACTTGAGATCATACCTAGTATAGAAGTTTTCATTAATGGTGAATTCTCATCATTCAATGATAATGAATCTGGGTGTTCAAATAAGGAAAACTTTGTTGTTATATCATAATGTGTAGAATTACTACTTCCATCAAAGGAAAGTTTAGGTGGTTTAGTACAAATTTTAGAAGGTTTTACATATTCTTCATGATTATTACGATGAACGCAAGAAAAAGCATGCGATGATAATGCATTTACACGTGCCGGTGTCCGTGGTGATGATGATGCTGATGAACAAAGTGTAGGTGCTAAGAGAAGTTCGAGAGGTTCCTATGAAAGAAAATAATAATCAGAATTAAAATCAGTGAAAATAAAACTAATGATGATTGTGCATTACAAAACTAACGAAATAAAAAATGATAAGTGAATAGAAAAGCTGTGCTTATTTAATTACTTGATTTTTGGTATCAATATTCTTTACATTCATGAGCAAACGGCAAAAGAAAGATATACATAAATATTTTTGTAAAACGAATAGTTTTCAACAGTTAGAATATTTGGCTTTGCTAAGTTTTTTTTTAATTTTTATATTTCACATCATATTCATACTTACCAGACTAATAGATTTGGATGGTTTCTTATTTTTATTTTGTGTATGCGGATAACTTGTTCTTGTTGGCGAATTTGACATTGATGAGAATTGATAACTAAGATTTGATCTTGAAGGCCGATCCTGATGATTGAAATAATCTTTCATTTGGCTTGCTCGAATACGTGATGCATGTCTAACAATATCTTTTTCAACTTGTTTTTTCGAAGGTGATGCTATTGGCATAACACTAACAGTAGAATGATGCACTGATACTTTGCGAACATTTGCAGTTGGTGACTGTGTAACAGATGATTTTTCGTGTTTTTTAGATTTTGTGCTTGTCGTTGTTGCGGTTATTGTTGACGTTGTTACTGTTGATTCTGGATGACGATGTACAGCCAGTGTTGGACGGAGACCAGCTCGACGACGAATGGTATCTGTAATTATTATCAGAAAAAAATTTTTTGATCGTTCTTGTATTTATTTACCCCGGTATGAATCCCCAGTAGTTGTTTTTAATAATGAAGTCATATAAGCAATATCAGGATCATTATCAAGTACTGTTGTGGCTGCTGATGATGCATCATTATCATCGATTACTTTTGCAGCTGAAATCAAGTTTTGCGAATGTTCACTGACCAAAAGTGATGATGCGCAATAGTTAAAATTTAACTGTTCTTGATTGTGTGAGTTTTGTTGATTTTCATTTTTATGCGTACCAGACACATTATTTGTGTCGGTTCCTTCGAAATCAGTCATAGATGTTTGTTGTAATGCGCTAAAAGGTCGTGTATCTTGATATGGTTCTGTTACAACAGTTGGGTAGTGCAGAGCGCTTGATGATCGACTTGGATTTCGATTAATAAATATTTTAACTCGATGAAGAGTACTTGCAGATTTTCTATCACTTGTATTCATATTTGTTTGACTTTGCTGTTGAGACACTGTCGCAGCAGTTGTCGGATTTAAATGTATCCGAATACCATGTTCAAGATAAGCAGCTTCAAGAGCGTGATACGATGGTGTAAGCGTTGCTTGAGACGGAGCTGGATTGTTCAATCTTTGGTTTATTAGTGTTTGTTGCGAAGGTTGAACTTCCATGTCATGAAGACGATCAGACACTGACATACTAAGAGAAGATAAATCATTATTGAGAGATGTTGGTAAAGCAAATGAAGTATTTGTTCGATGTTTAAATGGTTTAATTTCATTGTTCGATAAATCCATTCTGCTGCCACTAACAACAGTTCCTAAGATTATTCAATAGAAAAATTTGTACTATTTTGCTTTTATAATTTTTTAAAACACAAATATTACCTTCATTTTCGAAAGCTGGTCTTTTTTTACGAAGTGTTTTTAAACGCATATCAATTTGTATAATTTATTCAAATAAACTGCGAAGAACAAAATGGTGACAAAGTTATAAATGACTTAACAACTCGTTTTGTACATAGGAAACAATGCAAACGAAGAAACCGATGAAATGAAATGGGCAGTCATACATTAGACGAACGCCAACAATAAACAAAGTCAGCAGCCAATTTTTCTCACTTTCTTTCTTTCTTTTTCTTGCCGTTTTCAAGTGCACATTTTTTCTCTACCATCAGTTTCTCTCTTTTAACAGAGACTGTCATTTTAATTTCTTTTTCGCCTTGCAATTTTTTCGTTTGATCCATCAACGAACACTATAGGTCTCTTGTCTCAGTTTTTCTCTTTTTTTTTTTTTTGATATAAGAAATGTAATCATAAAAATAAATAAATATTAAATATATCAATTTAATACTAAAGTAAAAAAGAAAAGAAAAAAAGAAACAATATGCCACATATACTCAAATAATGATTGATACACTTGAAAAAAGCTTAAATATATACGTCGTCGTCTGGTCTGCGTGGCGTCGTTTAGTGTGATGTTGAGTAGACTATATGGTGAATAAAGAAGCAAGACATTTGAATGAGAGTAAAACCTTGGCAAAGTAACAGTTAACTAAACTTCAATAACAAAATACTCAACGTTTTTTCAACCGCTTTCAATTTTATAGCAGTTCATTTAAACTTTAAGAATTTCCAAAGAGGTTGGATTTGCATACCTTTCTTCTTTTTATTATCAAAATGTTACAATACTATTTTTCAAAGTTTCGATTACTTTATACATGCAATTATAATCTCAGAAGGAGCTCATTTAATATTAAATGTTACCTTGTCGTGGAAAAACTAAAAAGAAAAAAAATCTTATATTTGCCTGTTGATGATGAAATTATTTGATGCAAGGACTGTACGCAAAACAATGATTATTATAATATTTTAGATGCATCATACCCTTTTTTCTAACTTACAATGTCACATCAGCTAGTAATAAAAGTTATATACATTCTATTTCTCGAAATAAATGAGTGAAACAACGTTTTAATAATCATTGGAGATCAAAGATATATATAAAATACTAGAAATATGTTAAGAGCAAAAATATTTATTATCTTTTTCTGGTAAGTAGAATATGCAATCTTGTTTTTTATTCCATGACACAGTTCATGTATGAAGTTTTCAAGTTCTGTCTGGAATAAAATTGTAAACTTTAGTCACATTACTATTGTTCCTATTGCTAGAAATAAAACAGCCAGTATACCAAGTTGTTCAACTATTTGTTTTTAATGTGTTGCAATTATGTGATCATTCACTCACGATGAGTAAATGTTACTTTCTTCACATCACCCATACGTTTCTATAGTTTGCTTACACTTTTATAAATAGCAAAAGAATTAGATGATTCTTTTTTCTTTGCTCATAGCAACGAATAAAAACAACAAAATATATGAATGACTTATATTTAAGTTAGTATTGCCCTTAGAGCAATTTGAGTAATTGCATAGATGTTTGCCGCTGTTCTCCATCAGATTATTATTTGTTTTGTTAAAAAAGATAAAAATAACCTGCCAGAAATTGTCATACTTGCAAGTTTATAATAATAGATTTTTTAATACTTTATATAGTTTCTGAAAGAAAAAAAGAGAATTTGATCTATTATATCAAAATTATCGATTAAAGCTCAAGAATCTACATATAAATGTTGATGTTTAATTTTTATTTCTTTGTTTGTTCTCAAGAAATGCGATTTCGTAAGTTTTTCTTCTTCAATCATTACATTTTATGCAACATAAATAATCAAATTGCAACAATATTACTGAAAAATGAATGTAAAATCAATCTTGGTCAATATGAACTCGTTGTCGAAATCAATACTGTTAGAAAGAATTAGAGTTTATTGAATTTCCTTAATACACTATTAAGTAGTTATTTTTCACACTTTCACATTCATATGAAGAGTTAATTCTTGCTGTAATATTTTTCACCAGATCGTTCTCGTTGTGAGTGAGTTAAGTCTATTTGAAGTACAATTCTATTCAGCTCTCGTCATTTTGCTTTTATTATATTTCGTTATCGTTTCAGATTCGATTTATATAATCATCGTTTCGCGTGGAATTCTTTTATATCTTCTACATGTCTATGACTTTTGCAGTATTTAATCTTTTTAAATTTGTGTAATATTAAAAATAATTCTGTGAAACATTGATGGCATCAATATTTTATTCATAACAAGCGAACAGTATTTATTTGAATGTATCAAAAGTGAAGATATAATTTACGTTCTGTTTATCTTCGACTATCTTATTAGTTTTCGTAAATTTTTAAAATATAGATAATAATTCTTCCAAATGTATCATAACTATCGTAGAATGTTAGCCGAACTGGAATTTGATCGATCACATGAGCTGTTGGTAGACGAAAGACGTTTATCTTATATTAAGGAATTTAAACTTTAATAGTAAATAAATATCTATGAAATTAAAAGAGAAAAGGATATTTGTTGTTTGCCATGATCATCAGGAAAAAATTCAGCAATTGATGTAAATGTTCCATCTTCTTGTCGCGTTTCAATAACAAATCGTTTTGCTGCAAAACCTCCTTGAAATTTCAAAGCAACGCTATTCAATGAAATAGATTTCGTCGGAGTGATTTGTATCCATTGTGGAGAACCCTAAATATTAATAATAAAAATTTATACAAAAATGATAACATTCTTACTGCTTCCGAATTCCAACATGTTTCCTCACTGTCGTCAATTAAATTTTTTTTCCCATAATTCTTATTATCTTTATTTAGAACAGAGCTAACTCTAAGGTTATCGAATAAAAGAAAAAATGCATTTCAAAAATTTGATACTGCAAGCAGACAAGCTACCTTAACTGAGTTTCATTTAACTGAATTTCTATATTAGATGTCATCTAGAAAGTTCACATGTATGATGATTTGATTTTACTAAAGGTACGTAGATATTTATTTATCTAAAGAAACGTTAAGAAAACAAAACAAAAACGTAATAACAAGCAAGAAAGAAAATTCCAATATTATTCTCCAATTGATGGCATTTGAGCATTTTTCACTTGACGAAATTGTCCACCAACAGCCAATTTAGGACTATCAGGACCAAGAATTGTAGCTGCATAGGGTTTCTTAAGCAAATATTTTTGTGTCACGTCAATCAAATTTCGTTTTTGACAAGCAAATATTCGATTGCGATTTGTTTGTCGCATATCATCATTAATACCATGTAAAAATTGTGTCATACCTTGACTACCAGGTGATTTCGGCTTATCGAGCTATGTAAATAAAAGATCAATTATCGACGTCATATAATATTCTTTTTTAATTAACAAAAAGCAATTTACCTTTTGAAATGTCGCTAATTTTGCTTCATCGACATCTTTATCAGTAAAATTTCCATTAGCAAAATAATCAATACATTGATTAAATCGTTCAAGTGTTTCAACCGAATGCGGATCACTAAAAAACAAAAAACAATGATTTAAAATATAAATTTGTTGTTGTTATTTTTTTTGCTGTAGTTTCATACCGATAGGAAAAGAAGGAAAATAAATTTCCACGAAGATATGCTCCGCCACCATACGCACCCCCGATTTCACGAATTTCACGTAGTAAAAATTTATTGAACATTAATTTTGATAATATCAATAAACTAAACGTAAAAAGAAAATAATTTTTGTTATCGGTTATTTTAAAAACAAATGTAAAGAAAAACTTACCCAGAATAATCTTCATGGCTATAGGGAACACTTTGAAAGCATTGACCTGAATAGAATACATCAAATGGCATTTCAAAATGAGTTTTCGATGGAAGTTTATTTCGACCAATTTGAAAATCATTTTTAAGATATAGTTGCGCATTTTCATGACGTATTGATTGCAATTTATTTTTCGCTGAACCAGGTAGCCGATCGAGAAAAATTTCAAGTCGTTTCATGCCATTGGTGAGTCCATTTGATTCACCGTTAAATGCACAGCTAAACCACCGATGCAAGTTAATCTTTAGCTTTTGTGAAAAGAAAAACTAAGCAAGACTAACCGTAATGAATTTTTGGTTAAAACATAATCTGCAATTTGACCTAACTTTTGTGTTATATCATCAAAATTTTCTTGTCGAGCTATGGCTTGCATCCGATTAACTTGCGTTAAACCAGATAAATTTTCAGTTAATTGATCAACAGGCCCATATTGACTAGCTGAATATACAACAGCAAACGTATGACCAGATTCATGAACACTATTTGCATATGCTGCTGCTTGACCTTTAATTAGTGTTTTTAAACGATCATGTTGATTAAATTGATCTCTTTAAAAAATCAAAAATTTGTTTTTTTGTAGAAAACTGAAAACATTGCAATTTTTACTTGAAATGAAGAAGTACATCTTCCCAAAGATCAAACATAGCATCAATATTTCGATCAAGACAATATGATGAGAGTATAACACCCTAAAATAAATAAAAAATGTTGTCTTCTTTTTTTTTGTATTTTATTTTAAATTACTTCTTCATAATCTTCGATTTTAAAAGAACTGTCATCTAAATGTGATGATACATTAAGACCACCAGTTTTTAAGTCAATTTGTTCGGATAACTCGAGATAGTTAAATTTCTTCGAACCAAGTCTAAAAAGCAACAAATAAAATATCTTATTAAGCAAAAGAACGGTTACACATGAATGATGCGCTTCATATATTTTCTTTTCTTTTCTTTTTTTTCATATATACTGTCACATTTACGTGTCTGAGGCTTTTCTTTCTTCGTGCTACTTTTGCGACCAAGGAGAGAAAAACAAAAAAGTACCATGTTCGACACACAATTTCGTCTATCGCCTAATCTATTAGATAATAGTACAACATCTAATGATTTATCATCGAATGGACCATGGCCTCAGATTTCATTTGATCGACTACTTGAACATCATGATATAACACCAGCACGACCAATATCAATCGATGATTCAACTAATAATGAGTTTTGGTCATCGTCAGCACAATTTCAAGAATTTTTTAATAATTATCATCGACATCTCCAACAACAAAATCAACCCCTTGATATATCATCTTTACTATCATCATCACCACCACCACCCATACAGCAGCAGAACCATCACCAACAACAGCCGCATCAACACCACCAACAGCAACATCATCATTATCAACAACAACAACAACAACAACAACAACAACAGCAGCAGCAGCAGCAGCAATCCCAATCACATTTTCAAGTACCTCTTGTTGATAATCATATATTTGAACCACAAGCAGATTCACAACCTTTAATTTTCGAGCAATATCCATCTGACAATAGTCATGTGTCTATGAGACGCGATCCAATTCAATATCAACAACAATCACAGCCATATACAAATCGTTCAAAGCAAACAGCATACATTCAACGGCACCAGTATCAACAACAACAACAACAGCAGCAGCAGCAATATAATCGAGCTGTGCACATTCTTCAAGTACCTATTGAAGATCAATATCAATATCAACAACAACAACAACAACAACAACAGTCAACAATAGGCCAGCCACGTTTTAAACAAAATCCACCTCCGGCTTATGTTGCTTGCTTAAATCATGGTATAAATTATAATGGTGTCTCGGGTCCACCTATACTTCTACCACCATCATTTTAAAAATAAAATATTCTTTCGCTTCTTTTCTTTGTTCATTACTTTCTTTTTATCTAAAAATAAAACTCACTTTGTGAGAATATTAACAAATAATGGTAGATACGGTTTTAATTCATTTGGTAAATCAAATGTATTGAGTAAACATCGAAAATAGGTTATGCCATTTGTTGGTTGCTCACATAATTGGACATAAGTATTACCTTAAATAAATAAATAAATAAAGTAATTTGGTAAAGTACTTACAATAGATACCTGCGTGTCCTTGGATGATCGGAACACGAATAACCTTCTTATCAATGTCAGTAATAGATAAAGTAGGTAAGACATCAATATTCTGGGGTGCTGATTGTCGTTTTTGTAATTCTAAGCCTACGAGAAACACGAAAAATAAAATTCTTTATTTTTAATTCAAAAAAAAGAAGAAGAATATGATGTAACCTTTTTTGTATATTGATTGTTTATCTTTGCATTGAGATATTAATTGTTGACAAAGTTCCGATTCTTTTTGTTTTTTCTTTTCAGCATATTCTTCGTCGATATTCATCGTAGCTATTAATTTATGATTATTTTTCTAGGAATAGAAAAATAACTATTGTATTAATTGTAAAGCTTTATTTAATGCGAACTAGAAAATATTTTTCAATAACATCTTGAAGTAATCGAGGATTTTCTTTTATTTCTTCGTTAAATCTTTCAACATATTTCGTTATTTGAAGACTATCAACCGGATCTGAACCATGAATCCAAGAGTATATTAAACCCTAGATAAATAGAATTATTTAGAGATGCATTTAACTGAAGACTCTAAACGAACAAGTATAATTTTAAGACCAAAATTTTCATCTTGATGTTTTATTCCGAGTTCAAATTGATGAAGTAATGCTTCGATTTGAGTTTTCTCAAAACCTTCTCTAAAAAAAAAAATTTTTTTAAATACAAAATCAAAAAGAAAAAAGTTTTCTGAAATTTTACTTTGCAACTTCTTGAAATGTATCGTCGATAATCTTAATCACATTATCAACATCATCTTTGGATATATCTTGTAAGCCAACATGAAACGTTGTATTTAATGTGTTACGTCCAAAACTAGAACAATCAATGAATTTATAAGTAATAGACTCAATAAAGACAAAACAAAATCTAAAATATGTGAAAGAAATGAAAAATAAAGTACTAACAGCTGATAAGATTACAAATTGTAAAGTGATACGAGGATTTCCTAGAGGTTTTTCGACATATTATCATTTCATTGATGAAGAATTGATAATCTTTTTTATTTTATAAATGATACAAGTTAAATCGGTGAATTTATTAAAGACCTATTTATGATTAGAAATTACTTACTATGAAATGATTTTATTACGAATATCTACAAAACAATCATTGTTTAATGATTGAGCTAATTTCGAGAAACTATTTTGTACAGAGATCAAGAAAATAAATATCATGACTCGTATCGACATAGTCGCTCTTAAGAAATCATTCAAGAATCCTTATCATTAGTCCAGCATTGTACAGAGAGAGATTTTTTAGCAAGTTTCGGTACGTTGAAACAAAATTTAGTGAATTCGTAAAGATTTGCTCATAACTTAAACCGACAATATCGTGAAAAATTTAGAAAGCATAACATAAGAATGAATCTGAAAAATGACAGAATACCGTGCGAAGTTATTCTTTTAATAGCCTACTCGATCCATTCAAGTATTCTAGTAATTATAAAGAAACAACTCGATATTGATGAATAGAAAATTTGACTAATAAACATATTTTCAGTTTTTTTTTATCAAACTAACTTTTATAATTAGAACAACTTACCCTGTATCAGGTGAATAGTTTGTGCCAATATTTGGAATAATTAATTTTTTATAAAATGGCGATTTTTCTGAATCAACAAGTAGTGAACAGACGATATTCAATAGGAATGTTTCCCATGTATTACGTATACTGAATATTGAAAAAGATCATACCTCATAAGTTATCAATTATTATTATTTTACCTTCCAAGTAAATAGCTGACGCTGGCCGTTGTTGTTTTATTTGAGTCAACAACAAACGACTGTGGTGAACAAGTTATATTTACTGATCGTGATTGATTCCAATGAGATTCTTCAGTCAGTGCTAACGATATTGTTTTCGCTTTTTGTTGTTCATAGTGATTTAGATAATCGTTAAGGAATGCAAGTGTATCTGATAATGGAAATGAACCATAAGTAAAAAATCTAAATTCAATCAAAACTCAATTATGGATATAAAATAATTTGCTATTTTTTCTTTGCTGTATTTTTCATACCGTCCATTAGTCGGATGATAATGTGATGCATGAAAATTTTTCAATCCATTCCATGTTAATGTTGGAATGGCTTCCGGATCACCACCTGATTCATATTGATATGTAGATGTTGGCATTAAACTATTTTGTATTCGACGAGCATATACTTGATGGCTATCACTCTATATAAAATAATTCGAAAAACAAAAATATTCAATTCAATCAAATAGCTAACTTACAAAAACGCCTTTCATTTCATTGAATACAACACCTTTGATTACGATCGGTGAATTTGGATCATCAGTTTTTTCATGTTCAAGACGCCAGCCTTCTTGCCTAAGTTTTAGAAAAATGATCTTATTTTTGTTGCAGATCAAAATTTTAGTTTACATAAAGTCGTATTCATCGAGTTTTGGATGTAGAACAGCATCGAGATAAACAGACATGAGATTATAATAATCTTTTTTATTTTGTGTCGAAAACGCGTACATTGTCCAATCGCTTGCTATAAAAATAAAAAGTTACATAAGATTTAAAAATAAAACTTTTCGGGCATAGCATCTTTAACTTTTTTCCCACTAACAAGAATGAAACAACTTCCTTGCGAGGGACTTTCTTAGAAGAATTCTATGGGAAATGTTTTGCACTTAGAAAACTTTCGAACAATCTGTTCAGTTTGATGATGATCGATGATCAAAAGCTCTAGATTGGTTTGTAGAATGCTTTAGTCAAATCTATTCGTTAAATTTTACTAATTGTCTCCAATCAAAAGAAATTATTTCTCGTAAATGAAACTTATTTTATTGTAAATTTTTCTAGCTATTATCATTAGGAAAAAAGTAAAAAAGGAAAATAGATTGCTCAGCTTTTCGTCCACATTTCTATATTGAAAACTAAAGCTTTTTTTTTATGCCGAAGACTTACCTGTAAAAGCGTTCATAAATGTAGCCATGCTTCGGTTAGTCATTTTAAAAAATGGATCACGACATGGAAATTTTTCTGAACCACAAAGTGCTGTGTGTTCAAGGATATGTGCAACACCTGTATCATCTTTTGGTGTTGTTTGAAAAGCAACACTACAAGATAAAGAAGTTTAAAGACAAATGAAAAAACATACAATTTTATTCTCTAACCTCCAAACATTATTTTTGTGTTCACGATCAATATGTAAATGTTGACAACCAGTTAATTTATGCTGAAGTTTAATAGCAATTAAACGAAATTCTGGTACAGGTGTTATCTTAAAATCAATGTTTTATTGGTAATTATCAAAGATTATTTCAAAATTTACCTCTTTTACGATATAACCATGTAGTTCTTGACCAACAGAAAGCGATGTTGAAGGTGCTTTAGATGTAGAAGATAACTGCTGCAATTGACGATTTAATGAAAATCGCGTCGGATTGATAATTCTATTAGAAAACATTAAATTGTTAATAATGATGTATCGATATTCTTTTTCTTTTTACCTATGACATAATCGAAGAAGATTCATAATTGAGATTAAATACTTTCGTTCTAATTTTATCTAGAATAAGAAAAAAGAAAGAACAACGCGTCTTTATTTATTGATTATTAAACTTGAATTAGATGGAAAATCAAATGTTATTTTTCTACATTCATCTGTTAAATAATTACATCGATGAAACGAAGGTGAACGAAAACTAATTGGAAAGCCTGGACAATAATATTTCGATTGATCCTTTCGACGATGTAAACGTATTTTTAATCGGCCTTGCATACATTTTGGACATTGAGGATAAACACCATGTTGAACCATATAAACTATACGTGAAATAAGACTAGATTTATTGCCAAAAGAATTTTGATGATTGAAGCGCAGAAGACTTTTGAGTGTAGGTATTGTCAGAGCACTCAATTGTATGCGTAAAGAAGGGCATTTTGCTTTCTTTATCGATATGTTCAGTTGTTTTTTATTGTCTGATACTTTTTTATCATTGTTACCTACGATTTTCTTTGTTGAAATCGGCAAAGTTTGATTTCCTTTTTTCAAACTTAGACGTGTTAGTGGAGCCATTCACTTGAGAAATGACCTGCTTGTGCAATTACTTCTTATCAGTAGGTAAAAATGAGAAGAAGAAGAAGAAAAATAAAATAAAACAAATATGATAAAATTTTAAATATATATGTCAATGGGACGTTTCCATCGCCAATATCTTTTTTCTTTAGAATTTATTCACACGCGTGTACAAATAAATTATGAACAACAAATGACCAGTAAATAACAACGTACTTTTAAATAAGCATGAATAAAAACAGTAGCAAAGGGATAGACATAAATGGAAAACAAAAGCTCTATCGTTCATTGCTAAAAATATTTATTAAGAAAAGAAAAACATAGATATGGTGGAATGTGATGATAGATGTTTGATATTCATTGACTTAGATCTAATTAATACAATAAAATCATTCCTTTACATATTGCAAAATATAGAAGCTTTAAATAGACTAGAATCAATTGTTATTCTTGACGGCGTTAATCAAAGATATGAACGGTGCTGTAGAAATAAATAAAAACAAGACACAAGAGGAAAGAAAACTACAACTTTCAAGATTTATTAACACAATATTTCATATTTTAAGTAGACTTTGAAACATTTGTATATACAGAAGATTTCGATCCGACAAGATAGAAATTATACTGATTTGAATTGAAACGAAGTATACCATTATAAAGACCAATTGGTTCATATGGAAAAAGTGCAAAACAAGATAAAACTGATAAAAGATATTGCACATCATTTAGTGATTCTTGAGGATATACATATTTAAATGAATCGGTATTGCTAATGAAATAAACGAATAAATATTTTCAACCTGTAAAAATATCAATTTTTCTTGTTTATACTTATTTGAATTTTGAATCTGAATTAAGTTAAGCACACTGTTATTGGTTGTCACGCATTTATTCAATGATTTCATTAATACTGCAGAACTTATTGATTTCGCTAAATTTGCATCATATTTATCTTTTCGAAGTATATCGATATTTGATAAGAATGGAAATGGGTTTCTAATTTGAAAAGAAGAATAGAGTTTATTTAAAATAAAAAAGGTTCTAAAAGATATGAAAACGTAAATATTCAGTCGATCTAAATAAGGATTGATAAAGATAGATGAACTGTTAGTCGTTTTAAATTTTTAATCATTCTACTGACTCGAAAGTATGTTTTTTTTCTCACAGATATTCATGGGAAAATGCCTATTTCGTCATATTCTAACAGCAGGAGTAAAATGTAAATAAACTTTAACGGTAAAGTGATATTATACTGTAGCAATAAGAAAAACATTGTTCTATACTAAAATATTCATATTTATCCGAGATTATTACTTGTAATACAACGAGCAGCCACATACAGAAGTCTCATTCTGTTTGAAGATGATTTATTCATACATCATAGAATCACAGCGATCTTGGCTCAAAGAACAAATCTCATGTTTATCTTCTGATTTATCTGTCTTCTCAGTTAATTCAACTTTTTGCTCAAAAAAATATTTTCTATCATTCTTCGATAGTACTTACAAACTTGTTTTTCGTTTTCGATTAAAAAGTGTTTCGATGTACTTTTTATTAACTCGATTCCCATCAATAGGTCGTCGAAATACTCTTGAAACATCAGGCATTAGAAATGATGATGGATCGGAAAATGCCCATTTCTCCCAAACTCTAAAACAAGTTAAAAAAAGAGAACTTTCTTTTCGACATAAAGTTATTAAAAGTAAATTTACCGTTTAGAACAACAAATGTCGAATGAATTCTTCATATTTTTTTCATAAAATGAACGCTTTAATAAATAACCTAAACCATAAAATTGATCAACACGATAAATTAATTCTTCTGAGCCATTAACAATATCATAAGCTAAATATAAGATAACAAAAAACGATGAAAAGAAGTTTAATATATATTACAATTTGGATTCCACATTTCTATTGCACCAATTGTTTCATCTTTTCGAAATGTTTCACTTAATAAGGCAAGTGTATAAAGAAAATCCGGTGATAAAATAAGATCTTCTTCGATAACAATCACTTTATCCTAAATAAACTTCTTTTGTTACTTTCAAAATATGAAACAATTGTATTCGATTTTACTTGATTTGGATAAATTTCCCAAATTTTTTTCAATGATTTTTCATAATGTTCTAAAATATTATGGATCCATATTTTTCTTTCGAGAAAATCTTTTATCCTACCCATATATGTCGAACTATTCGATGTTTTTCCGCCACGAAAACCAAATAAATGTATCAGTGTAAGTGGTTCAGAAAATTTCTCATCAACTGTCACCTAAACACAAAGCAATAAAAAATTTTCTTAAGTATCAACGAAAACTTTTTCAGCGCATACAATGACATTTTCAATATTAATTCCTGGTTGCATCAATAAAGTTTCCAAGCACATTCGAAGAGAATTGTGTGATATACCTTAAAAAGCAAAAAACAAACAAGCTTTTAATTGTGTAAATTGAAATCATTGAAGAAAACGAACCAGCAATAACTAAAATTGGTGTTGAGTATATTGGATTATCTTCTAATGTTTTATTTATTAATGGAATCGGTACTAAATTTTTATCCACATTTGTATCTTAATATCAATGCATAATTTAGTACAAAAGAATAATTAGTGAATTAAATGGTATCCTTACCACTGCAAAAATCACCATAACCATCATAATGTGAACAAAACTCTCGACGTTTATCATTTCGATATGGTAAAGGATCAGGTCGAATGGGAACACCTTTCACTAAAAATTCAAATGTATACTTAATAGTTGTTGTATTATCATAGCTTGAGTAGTTTTAAGGCAGTTGCCTTTGTTAATAAAAATTGTTAACAAAGATTTTAAAACCGAACTCTCTTCATAATCATCGCTGCTTCTGAACCAATGTGAATCAGAAAAGATGAAAAATTTCATGTATTTATTGTAGGAAATGTTTAGAATGATTGATTCCTTTTCGTGTTAAAATATGATATATCGATAGTTTTCCCTAGAATCTGTACTATCTCAATATCTTCTAGAAGGAATCATAAAGAAAATGTGAATGTAAGTTAACTTTTAGTTTAAGTGTGGTGATCTATCTACTAGGAAATTTTCAAAAAGATCTCAAATACGTGCGCTCAGTAATGATATGTTATATAGATAGTATTCAAAAGAATTAATCTTTTGTTGAAAAAATAAAATCCAACCCTTTAAGCACCAGTTTTAACTCACATGTTTGTGGTACACACATTCTTTTGTCAATGAGAGATGCATAAGTACTTCCGAATCCCGCATATGAAATCTAAACATACATAAATGCACACATACTTTTGAATAAATTAAATATTGTAATCTATATAACACATAGTAAAATATCTACAAACAAACCTCTTCATAAGGGCTAAAACCTTTAATACCCTTTTGTCCCACAAATACCCAAACGTCACGATATTTCAAATTTTGTATAGTTGCACTTCCAAGATCAAAAAAGAGAGTTTTACTGTGCTGACTAAGCCTAAAGATAGAAAATAAAACATAAACAATATTGATACATATATTCGCAGAGAAATAATTTTCTTTTTTCATTTCACAGACAAGTCTTCTATCTCAATTCTCAATAAAATGAAATGTTAACACATAAAATAGAATTTTTCGAAAATTAAATTTCACAATCATTTTACCATCATATATGTATGATCAACTATCACGAATAAAAAACAAGCAAATAGAGTTTCTACCAAGAATTGGTAAGTTTCATAAATACAAATTATAGTGAAATCAAAATGAATAAATAAATTTTACCGAGAATCATTCATTTCCAGTACTATATATACATATATGACCAATTAACTGAACGACTTACTTTAATGATGCTTCGTCAAATGAAACAACAATAATAATAACATTGTCTTCAAGATTTTCAAGAAAGATTTCTAAATTTGTACTGTCTTAAAAAATAATTAAAACAAAAATTGTACGAAATATAACTTATTTTGTTAATTTTTTATGTTACCTTCTTTCCATGTATCGAAATGTCCTGTTCGAATAACTTCTTTACCATTTGAAACAACAACAACATTTAAACCACGACCAGCATCATTTATACCTTTTGCAATAACATATTTTCCATCAACACATATTTTTGGTTCATCCTTATTATCTTTTCCTGTATAGACATGCACAGCAAATTCATTTTCTTTACAGGTTGCCGTTAAACCACAATTTTTAATGGTTGCACCAACAGCAATTTTTCCTTCTTTATTTACTTCCATTATTGGAAATGACAGTGGAGTTATTTGTCCCACTGAAAATCATTGAAACAAAGAAGATTATTTATCATGACAAAAAGAATACAGTAAAGAACATACAAGGAAATTTACCACAACCACTAATTTGTGCAGCTGAACCAAAATCGCTTCTACCCTTTGATTGATGCTAAAAGTATTAATAAAATGCTGTAAAACTCTTGTATCTAATGAAGAAATACAAGAAACTATAGGATCCCATTTGATTTTGTGTTATAATTACGAGTAGATTTTTGGGTGACTACGAAAAACTAAAAAAAGATCCAAGTCCTATGGTTGCAGATAAAAGACTTATACTCATCTACATCAAGCTTTTATTAACGGTAAATCATTTTAAAACAAATTCATTTACTAGTACTGAAAGTTTCAACAGAGTTGAAATTATATGTATGAAAATTTTCAATATCCAGAAAGATATTCGTTCCCTTTGAAATTCTGAAGACTATCAAATGTATCTATGAGAAAAGTGCAGATCTAAATTGTATTATTTGAATTTTCCCAAAGTATCTTGCTCTTAGTAAATCAGTCTTAACCGTCATCACAATGAAAGTTTTAACGATATGCGACGATTGAATGTATTACCTCATTAATTTATAGATCAGTCTATAAAAAGCTTAGTAGCTATAATTCTCGCGCTAAAATTCATCACATTCAACAAAAATCAACGCATTGTTTTTCTTTTTTTCTATTCAATTTAAAAATACGGCTTACAAGTAATTCTTAGAAAAGACATACGTTCGTAGAAAAGCTGTAGATTAATTTTTATACATTAGAGTTTCATGTTTTATACTGTAACGTATCGAGCGACTTCGCTCTAAAAATTCAGCTTACCATTTCAATAGCGTGTCCACGTGCTAATCCTTTTTGACCAATCATAACATATGAATCTCTATATTTAACAGCTCTTATGGTTTGACTACCGTAGTTTTCTAGCAATGCTAATGATGCGTCTCTCAATCTAGAGAAAAAGAAAATAAGCATAAACAATAATATTCATTTGGAACACACCCATAAGTCATTTCATCATGACTTGCGATAATAACAATGTCACCATCATTTAATTTTAACCTCAAAAATCTCAAGAAGAAAGTTTCTAAAGATAAATCACAAGTAGGAAATTTATCATAAACATATTCATTTATCTCACCTTCCAGATAAGTATCGAAGTTTTCTATGAACTTAACATCGTACGTTTTACTATCAACTACTGCTACATTAAGTCCACGGCCAATTTTTGTATCTTTCAAAGTTTTATGAATCAATCTAAATAAAATAAAACGTATTTAAGTAGTATTCAATATTTATAATCTACATACAGCTTATTGTTAAAACATATAATCGGATATTTATCTGTTCCCTCTCCGGAGATAGCTTTATACGGAATAGTATCATCTGAACATTTGTCATCGATTTCACATCCTAAAAAAGAATGATTACAAATAATTTTCAATTTTTGCGTTTTCCCTCCTCTAACCGAGATCTGGAAGTAACGATCGCTGTACTAGTGATTGTGAAAAGAACAATTTTGTTTGGTTTTGATTATATATTTGTTCACCCTTGCGGAAGTTTCGATCTAATAGGTTGTCGGATACTAGAGAAACTAAAAAATGCAAAAACAAATAATATTTTCATCAACATGAAAGAAAAACCCTTGGCATACAATTTCGTTTTGAAAGAACATATGTATTGATAAAAATCACAGTTATTGAGACTAGAATAATCATTGCAAGGAAATTGCCCAGACCACCAAATTGTTTCTGTATAATACGTTTGAATCTTCTCATCGTCGATGTTTTCTAATTTCGTCTATTCAACATTCAGAATATTTACTTTTTTTCGTAAATAATATCTGAAAGAAAAAGATAATACATCAAAAACAATATTATTCATTGTCATGGATCTTTCAGTAAATTGTATGTCAGACGGAATTAAGTAAAGAAAACTCTCCAACTGAATAATCACTCCTGACTAGAAGCTATGTGTAGGGATGTAACAATACCATTTGGAGACTCATAAAGATTGCCAATTTTCACAATGAAAATCTACCAATACCAACCAATACTTTGCGTTAGTTATAAACAGCAATGTTAGTTCTATCTGATAGGAGTACATAAAATGCCAATACCAACAGAAGAGATCCCCCCTATTGGTGAGTATTGGTAAAAAAACGGTAATTTTCACGAACACTCACCAATACTGGGGATCTCTTCTGTTGGTATTGGTAGATTTTCATTGTGAAAATTGGCAATCTTTATGAGTCTCCAAATGGTATTTTTACATCTCAGCTATGTGAATCATAGAAAATCCAACACGTCATGAATAACTTGCAACGAGTTCTTAACTACATTTTATGACAAGAGATACACTAAAATTATATGATAATTATTGTTGAAAATGAAAATTATAGTTACTTTTAGAGGTGACAAAAAAATCGCATTTTCTATTGCCAACTTGAAATCATGCATAGAGATAAACACTAACCATGATAGTTTTTGTTCTCTAAATGTTTCTTATATTACCGCTATCTTTATTCTGAGTCAAAAATATTTTAATTGCATGTTTGTTAAATCGATCGTATAAACCGGATGGTTAGATGTATTTATTTTAGACTAAAACAGCATAAAAACGCATCAAAACATTCCTAGATAACTGTCATCGTTATAGCTTATTTCACTCCATGCTAAGTTTAATATTCAAAATCATTTTTTTTCTCTTGTTTCTCAGAAGGTAGTATCACATTCATTGAAAAATACTATACAGGTGTAGCATCTTCTACTGAATTAGTAGTCTAAGAACTCAGTCTCTTGGTCAGACTATTCTTAGTTCATTTGAGTTCTGCATAATGCGCACCGTTTTGATGCAAAGAGATTTTTTAGTTTGAGTATTATTCTCGTCGATAGGAATAGTCTAGACAAATAAAATAGTGTATCTAAAAACGAACTTACTAAATTCATTTCAAAACAGAAATAATTTAATCAAATGTCACCGATATGGAAAAAAAGGGTTGTTTTTAGAAGGATCATCTTACCTTGACATTTACAGCGATATACACTTTTATTTTCTTTCTGAATAATACTCATTAAAAACAATTCGATATTCGATAGATAATTTCAACACACAAAAAAAATGAAAAGACTTAATTTATCAGACTGCTGAATTGTGTAAAAAAAATATTTAACTTTATCATTATGATTATTGTGTATGCATGTGAGGTTAAGCAGTTGATTTTATGATTCATCACTGCATGCGTTAGGGGATCAGACTAATGTCTATAATTTGTATAGATATAACATTCTGATCAACAAGTAAAACAAATATGTGAATTGCTTCTCTATTTAATTATGAAAAAGAAAAAAAAAAACATATCATACTTTTTTTGCCGAAAAAATTGACTTAATCAAAAAAAAAAGGATTTCTATAGCTCGTTCATCTAATTAAAACATTTGCTGGGATAATTCATATCAATTTGTTTGTTAAAATAATTAATTCAATTTTGTTTTTCAGCGACATTTAATTACCGGTATTTCAAATAATAATTAATGGTTAGAAAAAGAATATTATTCGACATGATTGTTATAATAGTTTCCTAATTGATCAAATAAAGTTGTGTGAAAATCATGCATGGCATGCTCAACAGTTGGAACATAACGACCTGAATCATAGGCTTGCGATTCAAGACCAATTTGGACATTTTCACATAAATAAATATCTTCTCCTTGTACAACTTCGGAATCTTTTTGTGATTTTTCTTCAGCTTCTTTAGTTGTTGATTTCGGACAATAATAATAATCCATATGAACAACACAATTACGTTCATCAATTGGTTCAACTAAATTTGTATCCATAAATGGTCCATATCGATTAATCATTAAATTCGGATAAATAAATGCAAAAACGACATTGCCTTCTGTTCGTTGACTACCAGTACAATATTGCACTGATGTTTTCGGATGATCTATCACAGTTTTATATTCATTTAAATTTAAAATTGAACCTAGTTGTTTATGAGCAATAGGCACATGATAACCACCATCTAGATAATTATCAACAAATACTTTCCAATTACATTTTATATGATAACTTTTTCGTGAAACATATTCTAATTGTTCATATTTTGTTGATGCCAAATATTTTCTATGTATGTATTCGAGATGTGATGTATCATTTTTAATGGTATCATTGTTTAACAAGTTAAAATTCAAATAAATAAATGGACCAACTGTTTGAATGCCTATAGTTTGCAAACGAATTTTTGATGCTTTAAATTCTTCGATTGTTTTTAAACGAAAAGCTTTCTTTAATCGACCATTAAGATCATAAATCCAACCATGATATGGACAAACTATCTCATTTGTTTCAAGACGACCTTGTTTATCTTTCAATAAACACATACCATGATGACAGCAAACATTATAATGCGCAAGCAATGTTGATGACTTGTCAAGATTTATTAAATATGGTTCTGATAGAAAACGATCTGTAAGAAAATCTCCAGGATTGTTTAGTTGAGATTTTCGTGCAGCTAACAACCAATTTTGACCAAAGATGGCATATCTTTCAAGTTCAAAGAGATCCCGAGATGTATAAAAGCCAGATGGAAGTGTTAAAGCACGTTCGACTGGAACTTTTGATGACCATGATTGAAGAAGATGTTCAAGTTGGGTTTTGTTTGATGGCAAGTAAGTTTTCATGTGGCGACATGATACTTGTAATAGGCTATAAAAGGAAAATGTCAATGCATGCTTATATTCATCTATTTATTGAGAACAGCAGTAACAAGGACGTATCAATTGAGTATAGCGATAATTACAAAAGCAAAACCCAGCAATTATTTACGAAGAAGGACGTAATAGACGAGAAAACATGAGTTTTTTCACTTGAAAATGATCTAATAAACAACAACTGTAGTAAATATATTGCAATTGATCTAAAAAAATAACCAACCAACAATGAAGAGGGCTTTTCGTTTCTGATTGGTCAATAGAATCAGGTCGATCTGTAGTTAAAATATGACAATAGGAACACTATACTTGCGTAGGAGTATTTTGCTTCATTTTATCTAAAGCGCTGATAATCTTTTCCGAACGTTCAATCTAGAAAGTTGTCATGAATTTATTAAGAACTGCCATTTTTTTTAATTATTTTTGTCAACCATTTCCTAGATTTATTTGCTGTTTTTTTTTAGGATATTTGTTTTAAGTCTATTTTCAAAATCACTTGCATTTGTGCTCGTTTCATAATTTATGCATTTGGAGATAAAATGCCGTCAGCTTGAATACTTCAATCTTGAATATTAAATTTGATATCTATTAGCATATAAAGAACAAAGGTTAACAATCCAAACATACACTTCTGGTTTTGCAAACATTCTTTTATGTTATTTTATTGTATTTTAGCATATTAAAACGAAACCAATGACTCTCGGAAAATCTCTTTACAGAATTACTTGCTATTATTCTCAATTTTGTAATTTAAATCTTGGAAATGTTTAATTTTAGCTAAATATGATCTTTTTTCTTATTTTTGAAATAGATTTTGTTGCCATTGCATCGATTCTTGGTACAGGCATTCTTGGTCTTCCGGTGACATTATCTGAAAGCGGTTTTCAACCATTTGTTATCTCGTTTTTAATTTGCTACTGTGTTCAAGTAAAGAATCAAATCAGACAATATCGTTTTTTTCTTCTTTAATTACATATCTACTTAATTTCAGGTATTGTCAATATTCTTTTTCACAGAAGTTTTACAAAAAGCTTATTATCGGAATGTTGAAAAATTACAAACTGTAAGTTAGCATTGCGAAATAAAAATTGTTCATCTTCAATAGGATTGTTTTTAATAGAGTGACAAAGATAATGCACCTATCCATGTTGAAAATGGTGATTTACCAACTTACGGATCAGATTATGATTTGGCTGGAAAACAGGGTAGGAACAGATCTATATTGAAGATTAGAGTTTGATTTCGTTTCGTCACATCTGTTATTAATCAATGCACATATCGTAAGACATCATGATAATTATTGTTACACACTGATAAAGACCTTGTCTGTATATCGCTATTTGCCTAATGATCCTTCTCAGTAGGAAATATAGGATTCAGACTGATATCAATGTAAGCAAATGAAGAATCTAAAGAGGAAATTATCTTAATCGTCATATCAAACATAAGAAAAGGAAAGAAAATTAATCATATGTATGGGTAAATGCGTTGGAGTTCGAGTTATTTGTTTTGCTGAATATAAAAACATAAGATCTGGAGACATATATATGAGTACTTTCGACACTTGATAATAACAATATCTTGATTATGGAAGCTATGTTACATGTCCCTCGCATATGTCTACATATATTAATGGGTGTTAGTTTTATACTGGCTATTGTATTGATAATTCAATTAATAGCGGGATTTTGTAATGTACTAAGATATTATCGTCGTAAGACGATGACAAATCAACGTCATATATTTAATTTATTTATTTTTCATCATTTAATTACATGTATAATTCGTTGTATAATTACATTTACAATTTGTTTTGGTGTAGCAATCAATGATAAATGTCTTTCACTTGAGTTTCTTGTTCATTTTCTTTTATTATTATCAACATTTGATTTATTTTTAATTATCATCGGCGAAACAGTACATTTTTGGGACTCAACAATAAATTATAAAAGTACATTATATTCAAAATATTGTTTAATGTTTGGACTGTTTTTTCTTTATTTTCTCGCAAGTCTCTTTCTTTCAATTCATATAACAATTGGTGGGGATAATCCACTCATTATAAATATATGTAAATCAATTAAACTAAAATTTTTTCCTAATGCCAATGAAAAATCATTAATACCAACAATAATTATTTATGTGCTATTTATATTACTCGATTTATTAACATTGACATGGATATATACATCATATAAAGATATATCTAAATTAAAGCATAAACGTTTAGCAACAGTCTTTTTCTATTCGCTTGTATTTTCAAAACAAAAGGAACATGAACGTTCAAATATGGTTAATCAAAGTTTAAAACGTATTTCATCTATTTGTTTATTTGTTATAAGTAATATAATTGTTATATTACCTATATTAACAATAAAAACATGGAATATAACATTAAATATTTATTTTCGAATACTTTTTATCTATTTAACAATGTTACCATGGTGTGAATCGATCACATTTTTTTTTTTCAAAGAAATGAGATTTCACTTTATAAAAATACCATCGCAATTAAAAGGAAATTGTTCTCTTCAACAACGTGTTGGTGCGCGGTTGAGTTCATATCGAGAAAATTTCGCTCGAATTCCAATAAATCAATCAAAATAAAAACAATCGAAGAACACGATTTTTTTATGTATATTTATATTTAGAATACGGTGAATTTGTCGAATTACGAGATATGGTTGTATCTTCGAGAGGTGATTTTTTTAAAAAATGTTTATGTTCTTTTTCTGTTTTTTCTGTGCGTGTCTGTGTTTGCCTATTTTGTATTAGTAAATATCCATGTATAAATATATATTGCTTATTGTGCTCTCGCAGGCGATGTTGAATCTAGTGTACCACTAATGCTAGACGACAATCATGATTATGATATAACTACCACAGCTACTACTAAATATTATTCCGAACAGTGTATGCATTCGTTTTTATCTCCTTGTTGCATGATTAATCTCTTTTTTTAATTTCAATTTTTGATTTCAATTCATAAATTTGATTTCCTTATAGTGGCTAAAGTGGATACAATAAAGCGATGTTTACCAAATCTTCATTCACTTGGAGAGCTTTTATTACCGTGTTTTCTTCGACAATTATTTACATTAACCGTACTGTTGAGCTTGTATGTATAAATCAAGTTTTTATTGATTTTCTTATGAAAAAATGATTTCTTTTGTTCTCTATTAGATTATGCTTATTAGTGAGCTATGCATTAGCAGGTAGCCAAGCGTTTTCAAGCTTATTGCATGTCGAGTAAATTCTATGAATAATCATGTACAATGAAAAATTTCAATCTAATTTTAGTTATTTAAAAATGATTCCGTTTTTTTGTTGGACATGGACAATTGTCATTGTTTTTCTTCATACATTTATTCAACCGATTATCTCAGTGTTAACTTTTCTTAAAGGAACACTTTTTACGGGAACGGTAGTTAATGAGATTGTTTTGTTAAATTTCATTTTCTAATCATTTATTTTCAAAGGTCGTCGTAACATTACTAGTTGGATTGAAAATAAACAATCCAGTAAAAAATGATTATACAGCGATGGGAGATTCATTTTTAATGAGTACAATTGCATTGGGTAGGAAAAATAAGTTTCTTTAATTTTATTGACCGATTTTGATTTAGGCGGTTTAATGAATGTCATGCCATTAATGTTTTCAAAACTGAAGCAGACACGAGAGGAGGTATGTTCGTTCTTATAAAGCTCATAAGACATTCTTTTCCTTCTTTCGAGTGTAGATTATTGGCTTTAATGTAGCTTTATTTCTTGGCTTAACAACATGCGTTATTTTGAATATTCTTTGGTAAGAAATAATAGCAATTAATCAGACTTCTGAGATCGAATAATATTTACTCTACTTTTCATCAAATTGGCTGAATTGACATAGTATCAAATCTAAGATTTTAATAAAAAATAATCAATAATATTAGAAAAACTCTATCTATAAATATATATATATAGAAAAATGTTATGCTGATTTTTATCGGTATCAGATGAATACTCTATAATCCGTCTATTAAAATGTGCCAGCTGTCAATATTGTTTACATTATGTCAAAAAAAAGTAACAGGAAAAATAAATCAACTTTTTTTATAATGCTTTCTATACACGCCTTGTATCATTTGAATTTTCTCGGCATGCCACCGATTGCACGTAGTAGAACAAAAGATCATTGACATCCATTTGATCGTTAAATTTTGTTTGTTAAACAATTGATTTTAAAATCATCTTTTTTTCTCGAAAGGTGTTGGTCAATATTAGCTGTTGTCCCACAACACAGTACATGTTTATCAACTAATATAAATGGAACGATTCAAATGGCATTTAATCCTTTAAATGAATCACAAATTCGTGACCGATGCATGCTGTATTCACCTTCATTAAAAAAGTAGATTATTTAAAGCACAGTTCATATATTCGAATTATTTAATCTGTTTTGCTTTTCGAAGAGCGGCATTAGGTGGACAAATTTCAACTGTACCATTAAGCGAGGTTCGTTTTAACATATATATGAAACTTAAAAAAATAATAATCTTTCAATTTCTTGTTGATTAGGTTCTTGAAAATGATGAATTCAAATTTTTTCAATATGTTTCATTTATTGTTCAATTATTTATTGTAATAAGTATTTCAGTTTCTTTCATGACTATGGGTTCAGCATTACATCATACAAGTAAAAGATAACTATTGTTTTGTTCTTTTTAATGAATGAATCATTGCGTTTTAGTCAAAGGTGTTGTTGATTCATTTTGGAATCCAACATTAGAAGCAGAAACAAATTTAGCAAAATATGGAAATCCTTTTCAATATATTACAGCCCGACGGTAAATCTTACAAGATTCAGTTATTTCTATGAAAAACGATCAAGAAAAATCATAAGCGATAGAATCTAAAAACGTTCTATAACTGCGTATTAATAAGATCTCCTTGTAATATCTGAAGTTATCTCTATGTTATTAGCAAAAGTAGCAGCTACATCGTATTTCAGATTTTAATACCATCAAGATTTTGTACTAACGTAATAATCCATTTCACTTTTTTCTTCATAGAATTACTCAATGGTTTTGTTCTTTGGTTATTTTCTCAGTTGTGTTTGCTATTGCAATGAGTAATCCGAAGGTTTGTAACGAAATCCATGCGAAAGATCTTATCATTAATTGATAATAATTTTAGAGTTTTAAAACTATTCTTGAACAAGCTGGAAGTCTTTTTCAAAATATTGAAATGGGTTTGTTTCTTGCAATAATGATTTATAAAGTTTCAACAGCAGAATATTGGTAAGTAAAGATTATTTTTCAAGACCATATTTCATAAAAATATTTTGTTTCAGCCATTATATACTACCATTTCAATTACCACGATGGTTTACTTTTTTACAATGGATTATTCCAGCGTATTTTGGTAGTGCTGTTTTTTACGACATATATCATATAATTCAACACTATACAAAATAAAGGAAACAAAATGAAAAGAAAATTGCTTGATATTCACTAGTTTTGGTTGTTGTCATTATATTTTCCCTCGATATTGTCTCAATAATATATCTTATTTCTATTTTTTTTCTTGTTGTATAACATAATTATTGTGGTTAATATTTTTATTTTATTTTTTCGTAGAAATTTTATGTTTGTGTTCGTTTAGTTCCTATGCTTAGTCGAATATCATTATCGAAAACGAAAAAAAAAAAGAAATATAAATTTATTTATTTTTGTTGTCTTCAGATTGAAACGTCATAATGCAATCGAAACGAATTCATATTGGATTTGAACGATTTCAGGTATCATTTTAATTCATCGAAAAATCAATGATAAAATTAAAATTCAAACTTATATTGAATAAATTCGGCAACATACATATGTACAAGAGAAACAGTAAATCAATAAACAAACATCTGGTGCGTTTAAAATATCTTTAGAAAACTTAAAACGAATTTCAGAACATTTCGCATATTTTCTGGCTCTTTATTTCAATAAGTCGATTTCATTTTGACTATAATATATAGAACATTTTTTGATTTTGTTTTAATCTTTATTTGATTCTACTAATCATGAAAAAATCTCCATTAAATATACAATTGCAAGGAACTAGTGTTTAGTCATTCATTTTTCTTCATTCTGCTCATAAGAATCAACTAATAATTCTGATTTTGCTAATGAGAATGATCATACAGAAACATTTTGGATATCATATTCAGATACAATAAGTTTTTTAAATAGTAAATATCTTCTGCTGACTCCATCTAAAGATTTATTTTTTCGAACAGAAAAAAATCGTAAGAAAATTTTGTTCTTACATAATGCAATTATTTCATTTAAATCATTGCTGTAGTGGAAATAGTCGAACATGTCAAGGGAAATCAATTACTGTTAAATGTGAATCAGATAAAACAAAGAATAAATCCCACCAATCATTGATATACTTTCTTTACTAATCGTTCTAAATCATTTCAAACACATTCAAATGTATTATCGAATGAGCATCAATTTCAACTTGAATCAATTATCGAAGAACATTATCATAAAAGTTTTATTTATCGATTGCAGTTAGTTTTTCATGGATCTACTTTGTATAATCATTCTATTAACCATATATATATATATATATATATCTTATATAGAAAAAAAGCACGATGAGTTGTTCAGCATTTGATTGTACTCCAATGAATGTAAATTTTATTTGAATTGAGCGATTTATTTTCCAATTTTTAATATGATTTCAGTGCTTATGTGATCTTTTAAATGAATGAAAAAGTTGTGCAAGCATTTTTATACTATGAAAAATGTAAAAATGATAAACTTCGTACTATTCATCAATTATGTAACCAATATCTATATTTCAATTTGATGCATATTGTAAAAAAAAAATATATATATATATATTATAATTATTTTTGAGAAAACTTTTTGGATTTTTATGTGAATACTTTTTCTACGCGAATCTATTATTGTTATTGATAGATCAAACAACAGAAATTAGAGTTCAACACTCGAAAAGCAATACTGATGAAAAAACTGAATCTATCTTTGTCTTTTAATAAACTAGAATCATTATGTGTTGTGAAACTTTCTAAATATGACTGTTGAGAACTTAGTCCAATGAATGTTAGGACTGCTTTGCCATTTAACCGGGTATTTCTCATTGAAAAATCACTATTACAGTGTAACATCAGAGAAAAATATTCTCTGATTTGTCGTTCTTGGTAATAGTAATTTCACATCTTTAGAGCAGACAAAAAATCTCCCAAGAAACATAGAAAAAGGAAAAATTAAATATCTTATTATTAGAGGTTTTTATGATGCAAAACAACTAGGACTATATAGGATATTTTCGGTGCCGAATTAAAATGATACGTAATCGCATCTTTTCTAAATCTTATAATTAAACTAGACACTCAAGACTTTTTGCTACAAAGCTTATTGTTTTATAAGATTTTGAAGCTTCACTGTAAACTTTTATCTCAGCAATGATTTGAACATTTCCTGGCCTCAGATTTCGATGTAGAGCGGAAGTCAATAATTATAATAAACATAATAAAACAACTTAAAAAAGACGCATGACAGGAGTAGTATATGCTTCAGATGGTTTACATTTGGTTGTTCGTGGATCATCAAAATTTTTCGTTGCTATTTTTACACTCATTTAATTCTCGTTAGCATCTATCTTATGCATATGATTAGTTGTTTTTTCGTAGCAGACAATATCTTTATGCCGCTCAACTTGTTTCTGCAATATCCTCGTGTTCCCTGATGATCTTGCTCACATAGCTATTCACTAGTGTTATTTGAACGAATTCATTAATCGATTCTTTTCGTTAATACTAAAGTAGTGCATCTTCTCTTCGAGTATGAATTTAAAAACGATCGTCCTATTCATTTTAAGTATCGTACAATTCTCGTATATTTCTATTCGTACTTGTAATAGTATTTCTTTCTTTTTCAACAAAACAGTCTTTTATACAAGCCTAATCATTTTTCTTTTTTTAGACTAGAAACAATTTAGAGACTATCTTACACATTCTCAGCATATTGATTATTGTAATTACATCGAAGATAATTCATGGCAACTGGTATATAATGTATTATTGCATAAAGCTATTCTCTTATCGCTTGTTTAGATCTCTCAAACCCTGACGATCAAGATTTTATGGCTATCATCGTGAATGAAGGTAAAATTGGTTTTATAGAATCACGATGTCGAGACTATTTAGATGAACGAACATATAGGCATAAAATTTGTTCAGACACAGGAGAATATTCTGATGCATTAGAGTTTTATGCTCCCGTTGGATCATTAACTATTCAAAGAATAATTGATGATCATGAAAATTTAGAAACGATACGCTTACGAAGACCAGCACCAGATATTTTACCAATAATAATATCGAAGATTTATAATGATTCTGATTCGTATATAATTCCATCGGATATACTTAACATTTATGCTATTCTTCCTCGTGCACCGCGTTATCTACTCGAAGCAATTATATGTGAAGTAAATCAACGTTCTATTGTTTTCATAAAAAGATTAGAAACAAATAACTGGTATTATTATCAAAATGGTTATGCATGTGAAAAACTTAGTAATGAATTAGATCATAATTTAAATGACATAATCGAATCAAGATCAGAAATGGAACAAATACGTCTTATAAAAGCAGCACATTTTCTTATATCATTCATTTTTAATAATGCAGTAAAATATATTTATCGACAAGAAACTTGAATTCTTTTTTTTGTTTTCTAATCCGGTTTTTGTTCTACAATTGAATTATACTATATTACAAATCAGCGATATTTTTTATTTCATAATTTTTTTACAATAAAATAATGAAGAACATAATAATTCAGAAACAAATATTTATTTTATTATTTTTTTGGAGATCGATGAATAGTTTAAGTATTGGCGATCTTGTTCAAAACTCATTACAATGTGCCATGTAAGTTTCTATTACAAAGGAAGCCCTGTAGTCTCTATTGTTCTTTTAAAATAGTGTCCGTTGGCTTGGTTCTATCGAGGAAATACCGATCATTGGTTTGCAATTGATTAATTCGACATTACCTGGTAAGAAAAATTTATTTTACGGTTCTTCATAAGATTTGTTAAATGTTATAGGATATACTGATGGTACTTGTTCATTAGATAATCAACGCTATTTTATTTGTTCAAATGGACATGGTTATTATGTTTTGGAAAGTAGTTTTCATGATTCGTACAAGATAATTAAAAAAACAACAGAGATTAACAATGCAACTACTTCTGATAATGAATTCAATTCACCAGAGTAAATATTTTATTTATTTCAGAAATTGATGAAATCTTTCGAGTGATTTCATATTAGTTATGATCTCACTTGAACGTTAAATTCTGAATATAATCTATCTGACTAATTGTTATCTTCTACGATCTATAGATCATAAAAACAAACTAGGACATTAAAGTTGAATTCCGCTACGAGACAATAGTAATGTATCTTGAATGATCTTTCGAAAAATAAAATCAGTCAGTTTCAAACTGTAAAGTGTCTATTGCAAGCAAAAACTAAAGTTGAAGATTGCATTTCATACTTACAAACAAGTTCTTTCTTTTGAAACATCAATTATGGCCACAAAGTGAGACCCTTGGCAACTTTAAAAATAGCATGAAATTTGTTTAGAAAAATTTCTCTATTATTTTTTCTTAAAATTTTTATTTTTTATAGGCAATCTTTGTCAACATCTCCAACAGACTCACCTATATATCAGCATCCAATACGATCATATTCTTCACCAAGTGTATCTCAAATTCAACATAATTTAGATAAGAATTCAGTGATATCACCATCACGTGGTGTTCTTAGTCGATTGGCATTCGAACGAGAACAACGAAACATTCAAATAAATTCAACTTCACGTGATGAAAAAAGTACATTGGCGCATGCATCATCAGCAGCACAGTCAGATCCTACATTATCACGAATATATTGTCCAGAGAATTACAAATCAGCACCCTGTGATCGAAATAAAGAATTAGAAGTTGAAAATTTCATTTTGAATGAAGGTGATGATGAAAATAATACTGCTTGTTCTATATTTGAAATAACCAATAATAATAATCTACCATTGCCAGATGCAAGTTTACCTTTATTTGGTCAAGAATATTTTCTTAATAATTGGACACTTCTTCGCGTAAAATCTTTTGTACAAGATCAAATTCCTATATTCAATCAATTGTGTTTAAACGTATTTAATGATAAATGTATTTTACAAAATTTAACAGACGAACAAATTGATGGATGTTGTCCTCGTATACCGAATCCAGCACCAAATGATATTTCTATCGAACTTATTAAACTATTTGATAATGTAAAAATAATATATCCATCACGTGCTATTCGTTTATATAACAATGATTATTTATTATTAGCCATATTATGTTCAAATAATCAATGTGCTTATGTACGAACATCAACCGGTTGGGCTTATACTGACGATGATAGTGAACATGGATATCCTATTGTTGTTGATGAAATTTCAGAAATGATCGATGGTTCAACTGGTGATATCAATACGAATTCCGAACAATGTCTACATATACTTAAGAATGCTTCCTTTTTGTATTATAAACTTGTTCAATAGTATTTTATTGTCATATTGTCTTTTGAATTTGATGTCATAGCTTATTTCTTATTCAAAAATAAAATTCAAGATTGAGTGCAGAATTTCGTTTAGCTTTGTTGCATGTTATTTAAAGTAAAGCATAGATATGAAGAAGAACACAAAGTACAAGTGCAAAGTATACTTTTAGTATCATGCACGGCTGCTGTTCTAACTTGTGTTTTCATCTTCATTGGCTTTCAATTCTCGTTTTCTCTCTCTCTCTCTCTCTCTCTGTTCGCATCTACATTGCTTACATACGCACACATCAATTAGACCAACATGCCTTAAAGGTTTGAGTGATGGCAACGACAAGCACATAGGATCGACAAAAGCCTTAAGGCTAGGCGAAGGAGTAGTAAAAGAAGAAGAAGCAATAAGAGTGAAGAAGAGAAATGTAAGGAAAAGAGAGAGAGAGAGAAAGATGATTGTGCATTGCCACCGGCAAATAAGCCATACACAAGTTTTATTTTGCTTACTTCTGACCATCTCGTTCTGAATGTGTAAAAGAAAAAAAAAGAGAAGATAGTCCGAGGCGAAAAGGACAGATTGAAGCTCCAAGGCAACAAAAGCGAACGAAAGAGACATATTCTATTGCCGCCAGGACTTCTTCCTTTCTCTTGGTGCCTAATCGTGAGAAAACTAATCTTCAGTAACATGGCAAGCGAATTGCCTACAGCTATGTTCTGCAAAAAGCCGCTACCATATACATGCATCGTGTCGATTCTCACTCATTTTTTACTTTGCTTTCGGCTGCTCGCTTGCCCTCTTCTTTCTCCCTCTCCATTCTAACGAAAAGCCTGAGGCGACACCGTGTATGTGTGTATACGTCTGTGTGTATATGTATGTTAGAGAAAAAAATGAGAAATTCGTTCTTTCTTGTCATCGTTAGCTGACTGTCTTCTCGGCCACAAGATAGCATATATGATTGTTGTTTTCTATTTAATACAAACAATTTAGGAAAGACGAAGAAAATGAATAATGATATGACAGAACGAATTTCATCATCTATTAATTCGAAATTTTCACCATCAATGATTATCCCTAAGCGGGAACCAATAGAAAATGATTTCAGTCAAAATAATAAACGTCGCTTTGGTGAACATCTTTCTAATGATGCTGATACAGTTATGTCAAATAAACGACAAATGGCAACCAAGAAAAATCAACATATAGATCAGATTCAATCAAAATTTATCAATGGCAATAATGATGAACAACGTCAAAAACAGACGGAACCCTATTTAACATCTAATAGTCCTAAAATGAATAATCAAAAGACATCTTTCAATGGTGGAATCTCTGACATTCCATCATCACCATCAAGTACACAACCGAAACCAAGGTAAATGAGAACATTTCATTAAGTAGCTTCACCTTATTTATACTCCGAGAAACAGATGTTCTTCTTTTACCTTGGACTTTGTTTTTCTGTGAAAAATTTAAAAAAAAGCATTTTCTTTTTTTTAATTATCTGTAATCTAGATTTGTCGATGGAAATTCAGATAATACAGTGGCTCGACCACAAGTTTCATCATCTCCATTAGGTATACCTCGGTCAGCTAACCCGTCACGTTTTACGGCTCCTGTGCATATCGATGTTGGCGGTACAATATTTACATCATCATTAGAAACATTAACTTGTTATCCTGAGAGTCGTCTATCGAAATTATTCAACGGTACAATACCTATTGTTTTAGATACTCTTAAACAACATTATTTTATTGATCGAGATGGAAAACTTTTTCGTTACATATTAAATTTTATGCGTTATGGTACTTTAGCATTACCAGATTATTTTTCCGAATTACCAGCTCTACTTGAAGAAGCTCGATATTTTGAATTAATACCATTAATAAATGCTATTGAAGAGCGATTAAATCAAAATAAATTATCAAAAAATATTGATAGTTTCACAACAAAAAATAATAAACAACAAATATTAAATAATCATGATGTATTCCTGTTGAATATAAACCAAGATCGCGTATTAATAAGTGGTAATATAACACTTATACATGATTTATTTCCAGAAATTCAAGAAGAACAACAACAACAACAAACGACACCCATACATGCGCATGTTGAAAGAAATCAATTTATACGTTTTACTTTAAACGCATTTATTCATTTAACACAATTGGAAATCTTCCAACGATTATTCGACTCACAATTTATTATTGTTGCATCAACATGTGGAACAAGTATGGATACAATGACACAATTTAGTGAATATATTTTTTCAAGATCAAAACCAAATCAAGTGGCATCAACATAAGAAAAAAAGAACGATTTTTTTATAAATAAATGGTAAAATTATATTGTTGTTGTTGTTGTTGTTGTTGTTGTTGTTGTTGATAATGATGAACAAATGTAGAATTGAGTGTGAACAATATTTTGTGGTTATTTAGTATATTCTACTTTATTATTTCGATAAAATATTTTATTTGTCATAACGGTGAATGGTATTTCTTAATGAGAAAAAAGGATGTGTATCAGAAATGTTTTCTTTTCACTTGAATTTTACTTTTAACTTTCGAAAACTTTTCGAACTTAATGGCGTCAAATGAATTTGTTTGCTACAAATTATAAAATTCACAGAGTAATTGTGTGTAGTCAATACTTGCAAATATCGTTGTAGAAATACAATGATTTCTATTCATAAGGTTTATGATTGGCTGAAAAATATGAAATTCTTGATCAAATATACAAAATAGAAATTTACTATTGTGACCAAGGGGGAAAAAGCTGATTCTGCGGTGATAGAACCACTCGGAATCATTGAGATTCTTCAGTGAGTTCTGGTGATTTCGGGATGATTCTACTGATTCCGAGTGATTCCATTGGTTCCGGGTGATTCTGTTGATTCCAATGCTCTGAACTCAGCTGTTTTCATCTTGATAATAATTAGTTTTTCATTGTGAACTCGAATCTGATATTGGTTTTTGTTTGGTCATAAAAAATCAAAGAGAAAACAATTGATTTTATAGTATTGGAATCACACAGAATCAGTGGAATTACGGAATCAGCTTTTCCCCCCTTGATTGTGACGAATCGAGCACTGCCGTGGATTCGAAAAATGATTTCTAATAAATTCAGTTTCGAGTTTTGTAATGAAATCTATTATTTAAAACACGACGAAAATGAAATGAAAATATTGATATTTTATTTGCAAAACAATGAATTGTTTTTTCTTCACGAAAAATTATTTTGATCGCTACATAGATTTATTATAAAAATAAATGATCATGATGCATATAAATCAAAAAAATTCTATTACAATCTATTTAACATATTTCTCATAGACTCGATCAAGATTTCTCATAAATCGTTCATCCTCGTCAACAGTAGATTTTGTCCATGCTAATGGTAAATGTTTTGAAACAGGGGCACGATCTTGAAAGAAATCACCATTTTTAAATTTTTCGGCAATATCTTTCAGACAACACAACCAAACTAATGTATCAGCACCTTGTTCTGGTGTTCTCAAACGATTTTGAATTTTCGAATGAAATGATGGCATTGATGAACGAAGAGCAGGTGTATCAGCCCAACCTTGAAAAGCAAAAAAAAGATATAAACTATTTTTCAACAAGAATATTTCTGTAAACTTTCTTACCTGGATGCCATGAAGCAAAAAAGATTGATGGATGTCGTACAGCTAATCTTTCAGCCATAACAACTTGCTGTCGTTTATTTTGAGCGTAAACTAGATCTCCACTAAATGTTCGCATTTGAGTTGAATTAAAATCATCGGGATCAAGTTTAACATTATACATTCCTCCTGAACTGGTTGTAAATACACGAGCCGGTTGATTTTCCAATAGAACAGGAACTAAATTCTTTGTTAAAATATATGTACCTAATGTATTTGTAGCAAAATTTGCTTCATGCTCATCATTAACCATTTGTCGTTCATTAATCATACATCCAGAATTATTACACAAAACCTAAAATAAATAAATCTTTCAAAATTAAAATTCCAAAAAAGATAAAAATTAGTACATTTAATGGTTTTTTTGAATCAACAAATTGTTTTGTAAATGCAAAAACATCTTGTGGCTTGGACATATCACACAAATGTAATTCAACATGATGATTATTTGATTCACGGATAATTTCTTCTTGAGCTTCTTTACCACGTTTTTCATCACGACAAACCATATAAACATGAGCATGACGTTTAGCACATTCAAGTGCAGCTATTTTCCCAATACCCTTTATGTAACACAATAATGGAGATTTTATTTTTTTTCTAAAATATTCTATTTAATAAATTACCGAATTTGCCCCAGTGATCATTATATGTTGATCAGACATATCTACATCTGTATCAGTTGGATTAAATTTTTTTGCTGCAGCTTCATAACCAGATCGAGTATATTCGTTAAAACCTTTAATACCGAAAACAGCTGTTCGATAAAATGACATTGTTTAACGAGAAAAATAAATATAATCTGTAATAAAAAAAAAAATACAGTCGAAACCAAATGTTGAAAAATACAGTATTGCTGAGAGTTTAAATAGCGGCAATATTTTTCGACGTAAAATGATGTTATATAACCACATGCAATGTCACTTTGATAAGGCATTCATTGCGTGGAGAACGCAAGAAAGTTTTTTCTTTCTTTTTTCTTACTGTGTTACGTCTACTAGTGTACGTCATCTTGATCGATGAGACGCGTAGTGCAGAAAAAAAGTCATGAAGAATACCAAAAAAAGAAAAAACGATAGCTCGATGATAATTAGAAAAATATATTCACACGAGTCTTCATCGACTTGTTCTCTTTTCTCGTATATGAACTATCAGCAAAAAAAGAAGAGATAATGTTACAAATCTACCAACAATTCCTAGAAAATAAATAATTTTTTTCATCGAAATATGCATTCATATTCATAATCTATCCATGCAATAATGCTTGTCTTTCAGTTGAATCATCGTCGTAATATATTTAAACAAATTTTATCGATTATTTTATTTATATTATTCCGATGGAAAAAACGTATTCATATTTACGTTCTTGCGATTCTTTTATTCGCAGCTACTTATCTATCTTATAGACAACGATTTGGTCTTCTATTTCAATCTTCATCAATTGAAACTGTTCGTAATAATTTATTAAATCAACATAAACAAGAACAAAAGGTTGCTATCGAATGGATTGAAAATGTATTAAAAAATCCTCAACATTATCCTAATCTTGTTTCAAATCAAACTCAACAATCAACATTTTATGATTACCTGCAAATGCGTAATCATCTCTCATCATCATTATATACATTACTTAATAAAACTAAAACGATACCATTAATGAAACATGATCATATTGTAGTATCAATCTTATATAGTAAACAAGATAGTGATTATCGAGAAGGAAAATTCTATGTTGGTCAAATACTTTATCGTTTATTGAAAAATCATCATTCACGTTTTATAATAACATTATGCGAAAATAATAATACAAATGATCAAATATCAGATGGCATTCAACTTATTCGACGTTTATTACCAGTTTTTATTGTAAATAGTAAATCAGAATCTCTTAATGTATATGAACGAGAAAAACAAGCATATTTACAATGTATTTTAGCAAATTTTCAATCGTTCCCAAATGCAAATTATCTTTTACTATTACAAGATGATGCCGAACCAAATAGTGACAATTTTTATAATGAATTATTATCATTAATTGATAATCGTATTCAACAACAATGGCCATTAGATGGTCAAAGAAAACAACCGGCTTTTATTAAAATTTATCATCCAAGATGGTTAATTGGATATTTGCATCCATCAATTTATATTATCATTCAATTATTTGCAACAAGTCTTTTTCTCACATTATTTTTCTTTTTTCTATTTTATTTATATGAAACTATGATGCAAGTAAGTAAAACGTCTATCTTAATGAGTTGATTGAATTTAAAACATAAAATTTTCTTATTTATTCAAGAACAAACAAAATATATATCAAATACAATCGCAATATTACTCTAGATCATCCATAAGCAATTATATTTTCTGGTCTAATCTAATTTCAAATAATGGAAAACTATTATATTTTATTTTTTATTTTTTTCTGATTACTTTTGTGCTTATCTTACTCGATCATTCTAATGTTTCATGGACGTGGCGTTCATTGCATCCAACATTTTATGCAATTTATCCGGCACCTTCCTGTTGTTTACCTGGTGTGATCCATTTTCGACAAACTTATACTCAAGTTATTGAATATTTAAATAGTATTGAATGCAATAAAAACTATGCTATAGATACAGCTTTTGATGATTTACCGAAACGTACAAATCTTCAAACATATCTTGTAGAACCGAATTTAGTTCATCATATTGGATTATACTCAAGACTTCGAAAAATGTATATTAATCCATATTTACTTGATTAATAATAACTGTGATAGAAACAAAATAGACAATCGAATATTTGTTTTAATATATAAATATATATCAAATAAATATAGATACTTGATGAATTACGAAAAAGTAAAATGATTCGAAAAAACGATAATGTAAATAAATATCTAAAGTCAAGGACTATTGTAATAAAGAAGAAGCTATTCGAAGTAATTCTTTCATTTTACGGTTCTGTATGAATCATTTAGAAGCGATATGTCTTCTCTATAGATTTAGAATAAATTTGCTTGATTTTTTTTTATCAATAGACGAGATATTGGTAAAGATATCGAACAAAAGGCCAGCAAGTACGATTTATCCATGGAGAAGTAATTACTAAATTCTGTAGAAAATATATAGGAATCATAAGGCTTTTGAAATATTTTTCATATTTCCAAATGTATAAACTCATCAAGTAATGAACTACTTCATGGATTGTGTCATAAGATTGTATACGATACAAAGCATGCCAAAGAATTGATAGCTATGCAAAATACAAGTTCATTGCAGCTATTAAATCTTATCGAACTTTCAATCGGTTTCATTCAATCGAAGTCATGTCACTACAAGGCAACTGCAAACATATAGTTCTGTTCAAATATAGAACTTGCTCGACAAATAGTCGCAGTATCTATATACCATTGATAAGTTATGTAGCTTTCAAAAGGCAATGGTAGACAATTCTTCGAACCTATTTGTTTCATGCTTACTGTTTGAAACAGCTGATGTTAATTAAAGACACTAGCGCTATTGCTATGATACGATAAAAGCAAAAGTATATTGCAATTTATTGTCACAGACACAATCAATTGATTCAAACCATTTTAACGATAGTGACACTTCATATACATATATTGATTAGATTTAAAATCCGATATGGTTATCAAATCTTTGTTACCATTATCTGACGAAAAAGAACAAAACCATAAACATGAACAGCATGTACTCATTACAGAGTATTTAATAGGTACAAATAAAACAACAAAAGAAACTAAAGAAGACGAACATAATATTATTGCTGTTAGTCCAAATGATCATAGATGGTATCGGTAAGTAAAAGTCAACAGAGAAAATTTCAACAGTACGTATAAATTTTGTAGATTAATCGAATTACGTAATGGTTTACGTTGTATGTTAGTAACAAATAATTTACTAGAAAACGAAGAAGGTAAACAAGAAGACCAAGAACAAGAAGAGGAAGATGAGAAAAGTAACCAACATGATACTGAGTAAATAGAAGAATTCTAGAATATATGAAAACTAAAAATTATAACTACATTATTTTATTGATAGAGGACTATCTTCTGATGCAGAAAAAGCTTTTTTTAAATATCATACGGTTATTATCTGTTATGAAACACATTGAACTAAATTTAATGAATGTTTTTCTTTTTTAAGACGACTGTCGCTTTGTATATTCCAGCAGGTTCTCTTCTAGATCCTTCAAATGTACAAGGTCTTGCTCATTTAACTGAACATTGTATTTATTCATAATTACAATATTTATTTATCTTTTAAGTCTCAATTATTTTCAGTAATATTTTCTAGTTCATCAAAATATCCTGAAATGAACTGCCTTGATTCATTTGTATCTTATCATGGTGGAACCATTCATGCATATACAGAACTTGAATTTGTAAATAAAATAAAAAATCATATTATCAAACTTAACTGATTTTATTATATGCTCTCAATAGACAGTTATTGTTATTGAAATTTCGTCGAATCGCGTTGTTGAGACGCTTGATATTCTCATACATTCACTAATTGATCCTCTTATGTTGTCTGAAACAATATTCGATCAAATTCAAATTATTGATGAAGAAAGTACCATTGCTCAATTTGATGATCATTATCGAGCATCACGCTTACTTGCACATTTAGCGAAAGAAAATCATCCAATAAGAAATTTTTCTTGGGGTAAAAAGGTTTATTGCGGTTTTTATTTAATATGCTATATTTCAATGAAATACATGATTATTTTAGGAAATAAAACGAGTTTAAAAGACTTTGTTTCAAATGTTAATAGTACTACAATTTTAAAACAACTAGTTAAAGATCGATATTGTATTCCAGAAGGAATGAATCTTGTTATGATATCAGATGGTAAATAAAAAAATGATATGTTACATTTTGAAATAATTATTCTGTTCTCTTTTTTTTTCTAAATATTAATTAAGAATCATTTCGAGTCATGCAGCAGCGTGTTGAACGACTATTTTGTTTAATGAAACGCAGGTATTCAATTCATGAAATAGTTTCAATTTAGCTAAAATCGATATCTAATTTTTCTTTTCTTGAAATGATTAGTTTTAAAATTTTACCTGATTATATTGGTTTAAAAGAACCATGGAATACAGATAATTTTCAAAAGTTTCATCTTGGTATGTATGCATAATAAATAATCTACTAATTATTACATAAACCTGAAGAATTGTCCTGTTTCAAGAAATGATTGTCTAATATAGATTTTCCTGTTTATGATTAGCACCATTACATAGTCTCATACGTTTAAAAAAGAATAGCTGTTTGTTTCCTTTCTATTATTTTCGATTGAAAATGTAACATCTTAATAATGTTTAGTTTATCCATCTAAACGTATCTATGAAGGATTGAGTGCAATGAAGACAACTAAATATGTTCTTATATAGATCAAATAAAATATTCTAATTGTAATTTACAGCAGCTACTAGATAGTATTTTACATTTTAATTGAATGAGAATTTGACTAAACTTCTGTTTCTTTTCTATAAATTGTTTCATTTAAGGAATCAAAAGAACTCTTCCATATGACACAAAATCTACTTGAATTGGGTTATATACCAAAAATTTTATTACCTTCGGTAAAATATTTCTGATTAAACAATTAATAATAAATATTTATTCAAGCTTCGTGCAACTCAATTACCAGTTCAACAGACGATTACGAAAGTCGAAAGTTATCAATCGAATGATTGTGCTACTCATATGTTGATCTTTTTCGAACATGGTATTACTTTGATACGCGATTATATTCTTATAGAAATTCTTGCTGAAATTATACAAGAATCACTTGAAGATTATTTACAAACAATTGGTCAAAATCATTTTACATGCAATGGTATGTTAAATTAAAATTATTATTCTAGTCTCTGTTACATAGGTAAACATTTTAGTAACACTTCGTGATACTTATGGCATTATTTCACTACAAATTGAATTGTGAGATTTATTTTATATCGAAGTAAATATTCATTTTCATTGTTTCTTAGAATGTTTTCATGTGAAATTCATAATTCAATGGTAAAACTAATGATATTATATTTATTAATTCGATTTAGCTATTTGATCTTTTGTTATTTTAATAGGATGTGGTTGATTATGTATCGAGGTTTTTTGTTCAATTTAAAGATCTTATCATGGAAACAACAACAATAGAATTTGAACGACTTTTAAGCATGTTTCGAAGTAGTATGTAAAATGTATACTTATGTGAAACATCTCGACAAAGAGTCGCCCGTATCGAACTTTGTTTTTTAACGACAATTTCCTCCGTTCTCCAACAGAAAGTCTGATTTTACACGTTTGCATTCTAATAAAAAACAACAATTTCATTTATGAAACTATTTCGAAACTTCATTCAACCAATAGATAACAACAGAGTATTCATTCGGTTTAGTAACATTTCTCATATATATATATATATATATATACACCAAGTTACTGTGTACCCTTTCAATTCGACCAAGTAACATAAGTGTTTATGTAGTGGAACAGTTGGAACTCAATATAGTCTGCGATAGGGCTCATTAAATTTGATCAGCTAGTATTTGTACTCGTGGAAGTTTATTTTAAAACACGAGTGTTGAATCTTACTGTCCCATTCCAATACTAACAGTTAATATTCTATTGTTTAGCAAAACAAACTATTGATAATTCTTTACAAACATGTGTCGATCGATATTGGACTGAAATTATATTAAATTCATTAGTATTTGACCGGCATAGTCGAGAAGTAAGTTGCGCTCTTAATTAGCCCATAGAATGTCTTTTCAAATAATTAGCGTAATTCTCTTGATACTTTAACTGTAACTGATATGCAAGAATGGTTCAATGAACATATCATTGGATCTGCACGTCGTCAATTAATTATCATTGTGTGTCCTCAAGATGAAGTAAGACGAAAACCAATAGATATTATTCAAAGTAACCGAGCATCTCATGGAACACGTGATAATCAACAGAATCGACATAGTATTCGATCAAATGGTACAGTGCCAATAGAACGTCTTTCACGGCTGGTACATCGTCAAGATCTATTCGAAGACGAAGAAAACACGAATGGACATGTATCTGTTTTACAATCAAAATCAGAATCAAAACTACGTTGTTTAACAACAAAACGTAAACATAATATTAATTTACGTCTAACTAGAAGTGAAACACTATATTTAAATAAACCATTTGATTATCCAAATGATGTGATGAAACTTGATTATATTATTAAATCATTTGAATCAATTGAAATTAATGATGATCATAATAAAAATCAATATGAGAAATCTTTAAAAATATTATTGGAATCTGATTCCAACGAATCGGAAAAATCTTATGTATTTATACATAATTTAAAACAATTCAAAGAATCATGTTTATTATATAATGTTACATATGTTAAATAAATTGTATCAATTAGAGAGAAGCTGTTAGTCATTCGAAGACTGTTTTTCTAAGCAAGATATATTTATAACATATGCAGCATCAATTAGAAAACATAATACGAAGCAATAGAGTACTGATAAAAATGATTTGACAAGAATGTGTTTAGTTTCCCATTGATGCGTTTTTCTATTTCGTTACTGAATCAGTGATACGTACTGTAAACAGTGAAAACAAAAACATAAAACCAAATAAAATAAAACTGAACAAGGAGAAAGATATCTCCGAAACGTCTTAAACTAATTAATTATTCTAATTGGAAAAATAATTAATTAAAAAACATTGAAATAAAGGAAAACAAAAAACAAAAATAATACAATTGCAATGACCTTCTTTAACACACATAATAATTATGTACCAGTTAAAGACATTGAAAAAGTTATCATTGACTGAATTCGATCGATTCAAAATTCGAAATACTATTTCGAGAAACTTTTGATAGCTTCAATAACAATTTACTACTACACTGCTTATTCATATGAAAGATTTACAGATATATTATAGTGAAAATATTTAATCAAGTTTAACACATTATTTTACATTTACAATTTTTTTGATACAGTAATTCTCTTTCTGAAAATCTTACATTTTTTATATTATACGCAAACTCTTTCGTATAAATGAGAATGAGCGGCATCTATTGGGGTCCACTAAATATCGGCAGATGTCCAAAATCGTAAAATGCTTATTCTGCGATCGCAATAATTAACTGTTCTGTTTTCTTTTCTTTTCTGTCTGCCTGTCTGATGCTAGTCGATAAGTAAAACTTGTGATTTATTTCATCGCGTTATTTTGTAATAGTGTATCATCAATATTATTGTAAATGACCCAAATATGAATGTTGAAGAGTCAGAGATAAAATACTCGCTAAAACGACGCCGTCTGTTATTTAACAAGGCAAAATTGAAAGCTGTTTCACGTACAAGTGCTCTTCTATCAGGGTTTGCTATGGTCAGTGATTTCTTTTTCTTGTATGTATTATATGAATAGCAAGATCTAATAGAATGTTTTCTTTTTCTCTCAACTATTTTATCAGGTTGCAATGGTTGAAATATCATTAGATGATCATAAGAATTCTAAAAATTCAGCACCTTTGTTAGTCGTCTATTCAGTTGTAACATGTCTACTTGTTGGTGTGCATCTATTAGCATTGATGATCAGCACATGTATATTACCACAATTAGAAGCTGACAGCACACTTGGCTACGACGCATACGAATCACATTCAACAATGCATATCTATATTGAATTAGCTTGGATTTTAAGTACTGGTTTTGGTAGGAATACTTTGTTGTTCTTCTTTTTTTTTCTGATAGAAAATATAATCATTTATTTTTCTTTAGGCATATTTTTGTTTCTGGTTGAAATAGCAATAGTATGTTGGGTCAAATTTTTCTATGTAACACGTCCAGCGGCAATAGCCACAACAATTGTAATTGTACCAGTTATAATCTTATTTTGCATATTTTCATTGCATTTTTATCGACGTCTTATTTCATCTAAATTAAGTCATCATCAAGACGAATTAAATGAGATTGAAAATACATTAACGGTTGGGAAACTCGCACAGCCTAGTATTATTTAATCGAACAAATTCTTATTCGTGTTATTTTTTCTCTTGAATATTTTAAATCTCATATGATAAAATAGTCTTTTTTTCATTTTTTTTCTCGTTTGAATTGAACAAATATATGCTATCATTCTTTGTTTGCAGATTTGTGTTCGATTTAATGAATGTATCAGTATGATGACAGTGGAAAAAGGTGAAGCAATTAAAGAAAAAGGTGAGAACATTCGTTGATATCGTTCACGTATGTTTCCTAAGCAAAAGCTCTCGATATGAGAATATTAAAAATGATCAATGATTTGTATTTTTTAAGCTTGTTTTCAGTTAAGAAAAAGCAGAAAGTAGATTAGATAAGAACAAAAAGTTTCTTTTTGTAATCAAGATATAATATGTTGTAGATCAGAGAAACGAAAATAGTCAAGAGAATTTCCCGCTATAATATCTTCAAAGAAGCTCGAGATGCACAAGATTAGTCTATTCTAATTTGCAGAACTAATATACACGATTGATGTATTATGAGCAAACTTCGTCTTAGTCAGCGTACAAAAAGTGAAAAAGTTTTACTCTAAACACATCTCGAGAATAGAATTATTTCTATTGATTGAAGTCTTTTCGAGTATTATATTTTCAGTTTGATATATTCTACGAATCAATGAATTAAATATTTTTTTCTGATAGGAAATAATCATTTTTTACAAAAAAAGTATCATGATGCTATTCACTGTTACAATCAAGCATTGAATCAAAATGGTGAAAAACCTGCGTATTATGTTAATCGTGCCTTATGTTACATAAAACTAAAACAATGGGATAAAGTTTATCAAGATGCTCATCATTGTCTTGATCTTGATCCAAACTATATTAAAGCTCATGCTTATTTAGGACAGTACTATGTTGAACAACAACGATACGATGAAGCCATAATATGTTTTAAACAAGCACTTGATCTATGCAAAGTATATTTTAATTGAAAAATTAAATTTCAGTAGTGCAACCAGTCTTTTTTTATTGCCATTTAGGTTCAAAATAAAAATTTTGGTGGTGAAATTCAAAGATTTTTAAATTATGCACATAAATGTCGTTTTTCATTGATGGAACAAAAACGTATTGAAAATGAAAATAGTTTACAAACATATGTTCGTTCATTGATACAAACAGATAAAGAACGACGGATGCAATTATATATAGAGAAATATTTTCAAGAACACGAAACAAATACAAACAAAAAATTGGAGTCAGCATCTTCCACAGTACCATCATCGACAATATCGAACAGTCTTTCAATTTTAAAGCAATATTTATCAAAAACAGTCGGTTATCATAATCAACAGACAACAACAACAAATGTTTCTTCGAATGTTCCGTTAAATACAGAAGCAGTAACAAAATCTGATAATCAAACGGATATTACAGTTGATTCACAACTCGAAAAAGGACTATCCGAAATCGAACAATCATCCAATCAATCATTGCAAGAATTGAATAACTTATTTAATGAAGCTGATACAAAAAGAAAACGACATGAAATACCAGAATATTTAACATGTAAACTTTGTTATGATCTTATGAGAGATCCGGTGATTACACCATGTGAGTTGAACATTGATAAAGCACAAAAAGAAACACTTATTTTGAGTTTGCTTTCCTACTCTATATTTTAGTCGGTATTACTTATTGTCGATCATGTATTGAAGAAAATTTATATAAAGTTGGTCATCTTGATCCCATAGCTAATAAACCATTAGCTGTTGAACAATTAATTAACAATTTGGTATTGAAAGAAATTGTTGAAAAATTTATTAAAGAAAATGAATGGGTGAACTCAGAATATTTATAAACAAATTATCAGTGATCATAATGAGCAATTCTTCTTCTTTTTTTTCTGATATATCCTATTTATTTTTGTCTTGACCATAATAAGGACATCTTCTTAAACGCCTTGAGAATTTTATTTTTTTTTCAAAAATTTTATATAGGAACACAATTTTTTAAAATATATTTGAGAAGAGAAATGTCCACTGAATCGAATGATGTGAAAATTATTTACTTATCTAAAAAAAAAACGAGTAATTAGCGGTAGTTTCAGAATGATTGAATTTGTCCTTATTAGGAACCAGAAATGTGTAAGTCAAGTCAAGTCATTTTTGACTTGACTTGACTTGTGACTTGGCTCAAAGCTATTTCTGACTTGACTTGACTGAAGCCAAAAAAATCTCTGACGTGCCCATCTCTGTTAGGAGATATATTCCTAATAAGAACACAGCGCAGAACAAGCAAAACTTTTAAAAAATCCCCAAATAAACTTTTTCACTATCAAAAATTTTAAATTTTGGAATAGTTCAATGACAAAAAAATGTTCGTTATACTCAAGGAGTTTTTATCGAGAAGTTCAAATTTTTTCAAATCATTTTGACTGAAATATTCAATTTAGAAAAATGCATTGCATGCTCGAACTAGGACTATTGTGCCTAATAAGTACAGCCAGAGAAAAAATGTTCCTAATTCGGACACAAACTAGAAAATACATACAAAAAATTAATTTTTCATGTTTCAACATCAAAATTTCTTTTTGTTTTCGCTACAAAAAATGTTTCTTGATCCATTCTGCATTAATATCCAGCGGTTCAGCTCAAATTGATGCCGTTTTACGCTGAGATTTGAATCATATCAACGGAATTGATAGCAATCATCTCGTTTTGATAGTTTAGAAATGAAATCAGGAATATTAATTATGATCCATGGAGTTGAAGTGTATTATCTTCCATTTTTGATATTTTCACGTACTTCAAAGTATTTATCAGACTTGATTATACTATGATAATGAAGATTTCTCAATAAGTCATCGACATGCATCTATTGATCATCTGAATAAAGTATTGAAATTGATAATATCAGTGCATTGATGTTTCAGAAAATATAATTTTTCAGAAATCATTACCCAGGTCCAAACGGTACGGCGGGAAACTGTTGGTTCCGGTGAAATTTCGGCAAAAGCGTGGAAGAAGTATTCCGGGACCGGTTACGGATACCGTTTACGGCTTCTTCCCTGCTGATTCCTACAACCGGATGAAATGCCAGGACCCCGCTGCCGTTTCCGGCAAGGGCTCTGAGAAGGGTTCCGACGCCTTTTTCACGGGCGCAGGATCCGAACAATTTCCTTCCGTTTCCGATTCGGTTGCAACTCCCAGATCCGACCGTTTTTATTTTCTTTCGAACGGTTTAATTCCGCAATCGGAAGCGATAGGATCTATTCGAAAACGTATTCCTTATAACTGCATGACTTTAATACCGTACAATCGACAAATTGGATCACTCTCTCAAAAGAATCTCTAGAATACAATTGTATATTCAATGTTCAAATGTATGGAATACTAAGAAAAAGTTACAATTCCATACCAGAGACGTACACAGGGCAGGACGGTCTTGCTGTCCTGGTGTCCTGCCCTGCCCTGTCCTGTAGGNCCATACCAGAGACGTACAAAGGGCAGGACGGTCTTGCTGTCCTGGTGTCCTGCCCTGCCCTGTCCTGTAGGACAGGATGAGATTTCTATTTTTGTCCTGTTCTGCCGCCCACCAGGACCAAGGTAGTCAACAGGACAGACAAGGACAGGAGAAAAAATTAAGTCCTGTGCGCGTCTCTGTTCCATACAAGTATTGATAAAGATTTTGGCTCTCTTCAAATCATTGGATTAAATTGGACATGATACCCATGTGAAAAAAATAGGGGTAAAATCAGATTAAAATCGATTACCGTTTTGATTAAAAATCAATTATAATCATACACCTTTTAATCGATTCATAATCGATTGA